GGGGCACGCACTATGCACCGTATCCATCGCCGAGGTGCTTCTTTCTTTTCCTCCACCTTTCGCCAACACTAGAGATTGTGCCAGTGCCTCCACGCAGTGAACTTTTACCTGTTTTAACTGAAAGCATTTTTTTTTTTTCTTACCATAAAAATAAAGTCGGCCACAGGTACGTATGTACCGAACATTTATTTTATTGTGAGTGCTCACGTGTACTTATAACAATAATAATGCATCCAATACCCTTACCCCCTCTATAAAACCAGAAAAAATATCACCAAGTGTAGGTCATACGTGGGCCTCTTAAAATTTGCTCCCAACGTCACCTTGCCCACCAAAATTATACCTAGCAGCGCTACATATGTGTATTATATATATATATATAAACATATAATTTAAATATTCATTTATATATTTTTGCGTACATGTGCAGTTCCATATGAAAGAATGGCAGCCAAAATCTCCAAAAAAAAAACCTGATGTAAAAAAAAAAATATAAATAAGGGGAAAAAAAAAAATATTAAATAATATATAATTAAAGTATGCGACATGAAACAAAAAGAATAAAGGCAAAAAAAAAAAAAAAAAACAGAAACAAAATATAAACAGAAACAGAAAGTTAAAGCAAAATAAGCGAACAATGGTATTTGAAGGAATGTAAAAACGGAAAAAAAACTTCGAAGTGAGAAGGTAAGATCCTACTTTTTGTTAAATGCTGAAATGAAGCATAACGTAAATTTTATGTTTAGCCAAGTTCGTTACAGTTATGTTGCGTGTTCTTCCGTTAGCATGTACCAACGCATGAGTGTTTGCGTGTTCTCATGTGTTCCTACTCTTGTGCCAATGTAAAAAAAAAAAAAATAATATAATATTAAATAAAAATGTTGAAAGGAATATTTATCCACTCACGATCGTACCATGCGTGAAATAAATGCATAAATTTTTTATAAGCATGTTTACACGTGTTTATGCACATGTGAGTATGTTATACAACATTGAAGTTGTTAGCCACATCGCACATCTTTAGGAGCCTTTGCCGTTGTGCAAGGCCTGGCTGATTAGCTCTAGCCCATTTTTTTTTTTCCACCCCCTCCCATTTGTAAATAATAATGGGTGAATAGTTCACGTGGGGGAATATATGTATACATACAGTGGAGAATAACGTTATAAGAAAAATAGTCACTGTCCCTCGCCCTTTTCCATTGCATCCTTTCGTTCCTCATTTGAATTGCATAACAATATGGCATGTGTTGTGTGCAAAGTATTATTTCCCGGCTTGTACTTATTTCCTTTGCCTCCTCCTTCCCTTGCCTGCAGAATAGTTCAATTGCATTAAGCGGAATTAAGTACCAAAGGAGACACAAAGTAGCAGTGCCCATATAATCAGCGAAGTAGAAAAAAAAAAAATAATATAATATAAAATACAAGGCATTTTTAACGGATAAAAAGAGACACACAAGTACACACATACATATATATAAAGATAGAACTACAGAGCGTTAGCTAAAAACACGAGGACACACATTTTTGTACTTTAATCACTCCCATCGTAGTAGAGCACACACTTGCGCGTGTACATATAAAAATAAATAGCTACATATACAAACGTATTTGAAAAAAAAATTTTTATTATAAAACACCTTGAGCAAAATGAAGAAAGATAGAGAGCCAATAGACGAAGATGAAATGAGAATCACATCCACCGGTAGGATGACCAATTATGTGAACTATGGTGCCAAGATTTTAGGAGAAGAAGATAAAAAAAGTTTGAAAATAAAAGCCACGGGAAACGCCATCGGAAAAGCTGTAACTCTAGCGGAAATTATAAAAAGGAGATTTAAAGGATTGCATCAGATAACCAGGTGCGGTAGTACCGTCATAACGGACCAGTACGTTAGTGGACAAGACAACGGTGAACAAGTTGTGCAAGAGAAAACCGTTTCCTTTATTGACATTCTGTTGTCGAGAGATCAATTAGATGTAAAGGACCCAGGTTACCAACCACCATTGGATGAGAAATATGTGAAGGAAATGTCACCTGAAGAAATTGTGAACACCAGACCATTTAGAGGAAGAGGATTCAGACCCAGATTCTTCCGTGGATTCAGAGGTGGCAGAGGTGGATTCATGAGACGAGGTGGATACAGACCATTTGGAGATAGAATGTATGATGGTAGAAACAACTTTAGAGGAGGAAGAGGATATGGTGGCAGTTTTGGTAGAGGTGGTTACAGATCTGGTGGAGGAATGGGAATGGGCGGAAGAGGCGGATTCAGAGGAGGATTCCGTGGAGTTAGAGGTGGTTTCCGAGGTGGCAGAGGTGGCTTCAGAGGGGGCAGGGCTCTATCATAACTGAAGAAATTTTTTAAATGAATTTGTTTAATTTTTGCGCTTGTTCAAGGGGGCATATTCCTATATGAATGCAAAAATATATATCGGTGTATGCGCGTGTATAATTGCGCCATTGTTTTTACTGCGCAAATACGTAGTTGTGTGCTCACCAAGCGCAGACGCTGAGTGTGCGGGGCGCAGTGTACAAAAAAATTCCAAGGAAAACGGAATAATGCGCAGAGCATATTTGTTACGCATTTGAACATGTGTTCGTGTACATTCACGCATATTCAGTGCACGCACGGCACAGGAGCAACGCATACACATGCCGATTATATAAGCATATATAGGTATCCATGCCGCCTTTCGCAAAATTAAGCCTACTTCATGCACCTCCATATATGTGAAGCACCAACAAAATGTACCAAAAAAAAAAAAAAAAAAAAAAGAAAGAAAAAGAAAAGCTCAAAGTTCCTCATTATGCATATGTAAAAAATTTATACACGCGCACACGTAGTGAAGCAACAAGGTGAAGAAGCCGTAACACATGCATATTTACTGTACACGTTTAAGACAATTGAAGACTCACAAAAAAAATGCTGGAATATTATTTATAGAGTGTTCCTTATAGAGAATCATTAATACATTATAAACATAAAGCAAAAAAAAAAAATAAGCTATATGTACAAAACATAGTTCAATCAAGCAGCGTTTAGCCGTGCCACATTTATCCATCAAAAGAGAGTTCACCATAAGTTCAAAACAGAGAAATAAATATATTTATTTATATCCGTATTCACACAAGAACCATTTTATATATATGCACAACAATTTAAGAAATAAAAAAAAAAAAAAAAAAAAAATGTTCGCTTTTCTTACCTAATCGAATGGAGTAAAAATTATTGCATAACAGTAAATACGTACATGTTGTACCCCTTTTAGCTATCCTTCTTTAATATATTTTTATCGGTGCTCATACATTTAGAGGGATTCAACCCCAGCGCTTGTAGCATGTTCTGTGATACAACGCGCAGGAATATATTACAAGAAGTTAAAGGGGGCATGGCATGTGTGTGTTATGCATATATTTTTTATGCCACAATATTCCACGACAGTTAAAAAAAACAAAAAAAAAGACATATATAATTGCACATTTATAAGTATCCATTTATATTAGAGCCCATTCATAGACGCATATAGGAACACATATTTACATAAAACCTTGTGACGCATTTTATTATCTGCACAACGCGCCATTTTAGCCTCCCAGAGAGAGAACTGCTTTGTAATTAGCATGAGATGGAACAAGCGCGAAACAGGTTTTAAAGAAATTTATTTTTAATAAAAGAGTCCCCGCACCTACACACTACACAAATTTTAATCAAGAGCAATTTACGAAGTTTTAAATGCAATGAAAGAAGTGAGAGTACGCTGTTATTTACACGCCGAGAAAATATTTAAAATTTCACTGGGCCATTTATTTATATTTATTTAATCACACATTCATATGCATCATTCACATTTATCCATCTGCATGAAACCTACGCCCCCTTTTTTTTTTTTTTTTTTTTTATCAACATTTAAAACGACAAAAAAACTGCATTTTGCCATACACACGAAATTAATTCATTTATATTCGTTTATTTAAAAAAGCGGAGAGGTGGAACAGGCGCATGGGGAAAACCGCAATGCGGAAAGAATGTGATATCCAAATAATGCAATGGACACATAACGCGAAAGAGCTGCCCGAATTATGTCCCCTTTTTTTTCTTCCAAAGGAGTGTGATCTGTTGTATTATCGTCGGGAAATGCCTAGTACGAAAGATGTGACATCCTTTTGTTGCAAGTCCAGGCTAAGCTTAGCAACTTGTCTTTCCTGTTCTGTGTTTGCACCTTCATAATGCAAATACGTTACTCCTTTTTTCGGCGTGAAGGATTGAAAATGAATGGAGCTGCGCAACACAAGTTTGATTCTTTCGTAAAGGGGCCCATGCCACATTTATTTTATCCTTTACCTTTTTGGAAAAAAAATTAGGACATTTGTTTAGTACACCCCCAGCTAGCCAATTTGCAAAAAGCTATATTCACCTTGCCGTTCATGAAAAAAAAAAAAAAAAAAAAAAAAAAAAATTTTTGGTGGTATGTTCATATACCCTTATTCCTTTATGTTGCCATTAAGCATCAAGTTCTGTTCAACTTTGCGAAGTATCTTTCGAGTGGCACAAATTACTAGAACGAAAAAAGGGATTAAAAATTTTCTTTCCACTTTTTACGTGAAGGCAGTAAAGCATATTAAATTTGTACAGGAAAAAAACAAATGAGCAGCGTCATAAAAAAAGCATTTCATGATTAAGTGGTGAAAACATCGCACATGGGTAAAAAAGTGCAAAAAACTACGGTTACAATTGTGCAGTGTGCGGACACATGGAATGATCGATGTGACGCAGCACCTGTTTATTCTACATTAAAAAAAAAAAATTTATATTTGAGGAAAACAAACAAATTGCCCATTTACTCGAATGTTGCGGTAGAAAAAAAAAAAACAAAAGCAACATGGGGACCACAAATATATACCCCTCCTTCGAGGAGCATTATTAAATCTTCCGTTAATTCAGTAGAGAGGGAAAGACGGAAGAACATTCCTTCCCCGCTCATTGGTAACGTCCTGATCGTCACTTAAACTTCTTACTTATTTCTTTGTAATATTTCATCTGCTTACTTGTAACGCTGCGTGGGACGATCTTGACCGCCAGCATGATATGCCTTTGGCTAATTGTAAGTATGTTTTTATTCTTTTGAATGAACTCATAAATTAAGTTATTTTTGTCCTTCTCACTTATGGTTTTGTTTTTTAAATTGTTAATTGTGTACGTCTGATTATTTTCTATGGAAAAGTCATCATCACCGTATGGGAAACTCATTTTTTTCATTCGTCTTAATTCATCATGCTGGGATAGCAGACATTTCTGTTTCCTTTTCGAATGTTTGTTTGGCTCATTTTCCAAATTGGCTCTACCATCAGGATTCGGGAAAAGCAAAGTGGCCGTGTTCTCCGTTTGGGAGGTTCCCCTTTCGTTCATTAAGTCAGTCATTTTGGTCAACTCCTCCTCAGTTTCGGGGTGGCACGACACAATTTCCCCTCCTTCCGGTGCGCATGCTTCCACGCTATTTTCATCATATGCTGGTGCATCAGTAGGATCACACAGTGGGAAACACAAATGAGCATCAGTGTAGTTAGCCCCCTTTTGGTTGTATTCCTCCAATTGGCTTTGATCAAATGTTGTCACGCTACACTGACTAGCCATTTTTGTGCCTCCATCGCAAGAGCCTATTGTACGATTGCTACTTGCAGCATCTGTAACCGTGTCACCATTTTCGCGTTTGACAAATGGGGGCTCATTGGATGTGTCTCTGCAAAAGGTATCTGCTTCGGGGCAGTGCTGCGTAGCATCACAGCTGCTAGACAAACCCGAGTTTAAGAAATCAATTTTATCTCGACACTCCTGGAGAGCGATAAAGGCACTTTCTCGCAGAACTCCGTACAAGTCAGCCCCGCTATAACCTTTGGTCAAGCGAGAAATTTTTGCAAAATCTACATCAGCATGCATGGGCATATTTTTGGATAATTTTCTCAAAATATCAATTCGTCCTTGATATTTTGGTAAAGAAATGTAAATAAGTTGATCAAATCGACCACTTCTTAACAATGCCTTGTCGATTATATCTGGTCTATTTGTCGTAGCAATGATGTAAACACTTTCTCTTTGAGAGAGGCCATCCATTTCTGTGAGCAGTTGGTTTACAATTCGATCTGATGCTGCTGCAGCTTTATTGTTTGCCCTGTTAATGCAAATACTATCAATTTCGTCAAAAAAGATGAGGCAAGGCTTGTAAATAGATGCGTAAGAAAATATTTCTCTTACTTTTTTTTCACTCTCCCCCACATATTTATTCAAAATTTCGGGTCCCTTTATAGCTATAAAATTCGCCTTCATTTCATTACTTATTGCTTTGGCAAGCATCGTTTTTCCACATCCTGGTGGACCATAAAGTAATATTCCCATGCTTTTGTTTATCCCTAGATGTTTGTATATATTTGCATATTTCACTGGTAGGATAAATTTCGTCTCTAAGACTTTTTTGATCTTTTTCAAGGAGCCAATATTATCCAAGTTGATATTTGGCACTTCACATATATTTTGTGTAATCATTTTTTTTTTTATATTGCTCACACTTTGGTGAATAATCTCGTCATCTATTTTTCGGCAGCTCATTTTTGGTCTTTTCACTTTGTACGTGGTAGCGTCTCCTCCCCACTCCTTCCTCTTCAGGCTTGTTTCGTTTCTCTGCTTGGAGGGAACTGTATTGGAGTAGAACGTTGTGCTGGCATCCCTTATGGAGTCATACTGTTGATCATCACCTCCGTTTGGGCTTTCTTCCCCATTGTTGGCTTCGGAAATATTTTCTCCATCCGGATGGAGGGCGTCATTAGGGACTGAATGTGCACATTCAGTGGGCGCACCCCCCGGAGTTAGTACCTCCGATTCGGGCTTCTCAATAGAGACTATGTCCATCTCGCTCGTTATCTTGGCAAAACTTCCCGCTTGCACTTGGTCATATATGCACAGATTCATTGACTCGTTTGCAATATCGTAGAGGTGGCCCCGATGAAAGCCATACGTTAAAGATGCTGCATATTTCGCATCAAATGTGAGAGACAACTCTGCCGCCATGTATTGGAGAATCTCCACCCGATCTTCATACGTAGGGATAGGGATGGAAATAAATTTTTTAATTTTTGTGTACAGTACACTATCATATGGTTTGCTCACACTTAGTAAAAGTATAATAACATTTGTGTTGTCAAAGAGGCTCAGAAGATATGTAAAGAGATACAGATCTGTTGAATCATCTTTGGACGAAAGGATAACATCTATATCGTCTATGCAAAGGATAGCCTCATTATACTCGTTTTTTATTTGTTCAAAAATTAATTTTAATTTATTATTTTTACTATCATTGGATATATATTTTATATATTCTGGTAGCTTCAAGTAAAAAAATGGACAGTTACATTCTCCGGCTATGGCATATGACAATGTGGTTTTTCCTGACCCACTGATTCCGCTTATATTAACAATCGTGCTGAAATTACCCTCCCTAAATTTATGAGGGTAAATTATGCTGTAAAAAATATCCTTTTTGATATTTTTAATTCCTTTATATTTGTCTAAATTTGTATCTGCTGCGAGGTTTTTTTTAACGTCCTTGAGGAGCACATGTGCTGCGTAGCTTTGCTCCTTCACGCTGTCCTTTTGGTACTCCCCCTTCTCCTTGGCTGAGCTGAATTTTGAATTTTTTTTTTCCTTCATCCTTTCATTTGTCCCTCTCTCTCCCATTTTTAATAAGGTACCCTTGACTTTTTTACTTCCATCTTGGGACAGCTGTTCATCCTTTTTTTTTTTTTTTTTTTCCCCTTGGTGGGACACGGCCCTTCGTCTTTCTCACCGGGTTGCCACTTATCATCACCATGATGGCTGTCCTGATCGTCATAGTTATGCTGACCGTCCTGTTGCCCCTCCCCGTAACTTCCCTGGAATTCGTTCCCATAAATGCTTCCCCCCTTGGAGGAGACGCCATCCCCTTCAAACGTTTTTTTCAACACGTCGATAATCAGGGCGTTTAGTTTGTTCCTGGGCAGCCGTCTGAACTCCAAGAATTCTTTGCGCAAAGCATTTTCTATCAACGTACAGTTGTTAACAATATTTTTCAGGTTGGTTTGGTTATCTTCATTTTCCAGGATGAGATTGTTGCCCGAGATTATTTTGTGTATTCTGTTCCTTATTGTTGTGGATATCATTTTGGGTGCGAGTCAAATGGGGGGGGTGGCGTCCTGGATGGGAAAAAAAGCCGGATGCCCTGTCGCATCAAATTGTTCAATCGAATGGGCAAAAATAAGGCATGTTGGTGAGTCAGGCCAATTTTTGACCTATCCGAAAAACTCAGAAAGAAAAGAGGCGCCTCTCATTCTTCAACAGGAAAAAATCGCAGCAGGAATTATCTCCTTTTTGCCTCTATTTATAATTATAATTTCAAAAATGTAGTATGCGTTTTTTTTTTTTTTTTTTGCTTCCTTTTTTACGCGGCCGCTATTTTGATTCTACAAATTGTTGCATATTCAAAGGGAAAATTAAAAAAAAAAAAAAAATTGTCAAAAAATGGACTCGGTGCGTGCTAGCACCAGTGGTTGCCTTCAGAATGGTAAAAAAAAAAAAAATCGTCTACATCTTTACCTTTTACCGATTGGTGGTAAACTTTATAAAAAAAAAATATATATTGCCAACAGGCAGCAAGCACATAAAAAATAAAGTTGCCAAAGCGCGCTTATCACTTTTTTCTCGAAGGTTGCCCCACAGCTGCGGCACTTTACAAAAGGGATGGAAAAAAAAAAAAAAAAAAAAAAAAAACCGCGTTCGTGGCATGTAAAATTATACATTCCTCGCATGAGTAATTGTATGGACAGTTGTTCCTTTTGCTAATTAGAAGCAGTGGAATAAAAAAAAGGGGGCAAATTGTATGAGGCCTCTTCCCGCTCCCCTTGGCGTTAGCATAATTAAAATTGAGTACCGCTAAGTGCTGATAAACCATCTCGATACGATGTTTTGTTGCCAAATTGGTGGAAGGCAAAATTTGATGGGGTGAAATAATTGTGATTATATATACATATAGAGAGGACGCGCATCAACGGCGAGATTTTGTCTTGATTGGGAGGACCCCCCAAAACGATCCAAGAGAAGACAATTTTTTTTTGTTCCATTCCGAATGGTTAACCAAGTTGGAAAGCCACGTGTGAAACTTCCAATTATATGAGTATATTTCCGTAGGTGTACCATCGTGGGGGGTAAAAATAAATATCCCCTGCATGTGAAACTGCACAGTGGGCACGAACAGGGTCATGCGTTCAAAAATCAAGCATATGGAGAAGCTCCTATTTGGGGGAGAGGGGAACTTCCCATTTTTATGGGGGTAAGAGAAGAAGTTATTAAAAAAGTGGAGGCAAATGTGTGCTACTAAAAAGTTGAGCGCATAAATCGAATTGACTTCAAAAAAAAATGGAACCGCGCAAAGATAGGGCAGCAGCGTCCTCCTTCTTCTTCCTCCCCACGCAGGTGTGTTCTCAACCTTTGTGGAATAATTCAAATGAGACTTTTTAAATTTTTCATGTTAAACGGATCGGACATGGCTTGTACATTTTTCTCATACCTACGAAATTCTTCAAGCGTTTTGCTGGCCTTCAAGGATATCTTTAAGTATTGTTCCTTTTTAGCATGATCTTGTTCATGTATGGATTTGTTATTATATTCTTGTTCTATTTGAGTTAGGTAATCTTCATAGCTTAGGGTTGCTGTCCTGTTTAGTAACTCCTTAAGTATGAAAAATGAGATATCCTTGATTATGAAATAATTAAAATGTGATTTTGCAACCGCTAAGGGGTAGATATAATGTTCCATGATGAATTCTTGTAATTGGTAGTCGTATCGGAGGGGCAGTTCGTCTGCCGCTTTATCGAACGTGTTGTTCACCTTCTTATGTGCATTTCCCCCATCCTGTTTGTTACTTGTGTGCGGTGCATCCGCATTATGACTATAGGAGGTGATGCGGGTGTTTCCTTTTTTGGTAACTTCCCCCTTGGATGTCTTCCCCTCTAAAGAGTCTTCACCAGAATTTTCACTAAAATTTTGATCAAAAAAAGACATTTCGCTATTCGAATCTTGTGACGCACAAATGCTTTTGGTGCTGTCCACATAGCTTGAATTATCTGCTGATAAATAATCATCACTCTGAAAATCATTATTAGAATTATTTCCATTTTGGTAAACCTTTGCTTCATCCTCTTGTTCAGTTATTATATTAGGATAAGATGATGGTGGTTTATCCTTAACGGTTTTAAATTTTCCGTTTTTTCTTTCCATTTTTCTTTTTTGTAAAGCCATTTTTCTTTGATTTTCCTTTACCTTGGACAAGAACATATTTATGTTTTTACTTTCTCCCTTGTAGCAGAGGTTTTTATTTAATGTACCTTGTTCTTCTTCTTCATTAGATTCAGACTTTCCGATAAATTTGTAGAACCCATTTGTGATGGCAGATGTAAAATCATTTAAATTCTGGACAATAGCTATTTTTGCATTTTGCATATTTTTATCCCATTCAAACCAATATCTAGCTCCATTATTTCTCCAATAATTTATCAAAACGGGTTCTGGTATGTTCTTTATTTTAGGATATATGAGCGGCTCTATTCTGAATGCAACGGGATCAAATCCATGGAAGAGGTTGTAAAATTTGATCCCCTCCATTAACCTTAACCCCTCGTTTATGTAGTCTGGCTTGTACAATGATAATAACGCACTTAGAGGGCTTCCCAACATGAAGAAGTAATCGATTTTACTCTTTAGGTTGTACTTTAAATCGCTGTTACTGATTCTTACTTTGACATTGTGCAAAATTTCATACGCCATAGCGCTCCCGAGGGAATAGCCCAACAGGCAAACCTTCGAATTTTTGAACCTTCCGCTGGGGTCCTGCACAGGGTGAGTGGGTGTGTACAATATACGCAGTGTAATTTGTCATTGCATGTGATACTTCATAGTGTTCTATTATGATGAAGTGACACGGTGCGCGGGTGTTACTCTCGAGAAAACCCCCTCGTAGATGCTACACCACAGATTATTCAAACGTTCGCACAAATTTGTTCTCATTTTAAAATTACACTCTTTAAAGATTCTAGTGCCTTGTTTATATCATTGTACAGGTTTGACATTATGTAATCGCCATATCTTGGGTGCAGAAAGCATATGATGTCCCCCGCGGACAGGTTCACGATCTTTCTGGTCTCCGCCATGGTGTTGATATTTATCCGGTTGAAGACGCTGCGGTGTGGGAAAAAAGTGAAATAATGCAGAGAAGCGCAAAAAAAAACAAATATATATATATATATATATATATATGCAAAGCAGAAACGCATCTCTGACAAGTCGCACAACTGTCCTGTTTTCTTTTTCACGTGAATAGGCGCACAAGTCGACGAGGTAAAACAAGAAAGACACGAAACGGGGGGCAGGCAGAATTGTCCCCACTACATGAAGCATTACTGAATCTGTGCGTCTATTATGTACTTCTTCCAGTTGAATATGTGGAAATGGATATTAAAAGGATAATCAAAAAACCACATTTTTTTTACAATTTTGAAACTATTCTTGAGATCTTCACATTGATTTGTAATGATCTCTTCATTGGATCCTATTCCATGAATTATTAAAATGATGTAGTCGACGTCATTAACTTTATCATCCAAGTATGGTTCTTCTTCATAAAAGTTTATGTCTACCTCATTTTTACTTTTAGGGATTTTCTTCGTAGTAGCATTTTTTTCACTTTTGGAGAAAAAGAAAAAATAGTTATTTTTCTTTTTCCTTAAATTGTCCTCATCATCCCCTTCTTCTGCTTTTAAAGCGGGAGCAGTCATTATGTGACGGGGTGGTACGTACGATTTTTTTTTTTTTTTTTTTTGATCTTGTCTTTTTAAATGTTATTTTGATATGTGTACCAAACTTGTTCTTCAACTTTATTTGACTTGTTTCTTTTTCTTTTCTTTTTTTTTTTTTTTTTGAGGCAGGTGGGAGGGCAAAAATTTATTGGTACATCCAAATGTATCTTTCCCTATTTTTACACTCCCCTTTTTGTGTACATGGGCAAAAGTATATACATTGCGTAGCAGGGGAGCGGGGGACACTTTTTTTTGTACAATGACAGTGCGGTTATGGTGACAGGGGGGCGGGGAGAAAATCATTAACCTGTTAAGTTATTCAAAGGGACAGGGGAAGATGCGTTTATTCACGCAAATAAGATTAACCATTCGTTAGCAGCTCTGCCCACATGACTTTTGAATTATTACAAACAAATTAAAATTTGCGTAGGAGCGGGTAAACTGTTAAATGGAGGGGCAAGCTTACCAAAAAGTGCGGACAAATTGATGCTACAATTTTGGAAGCCACAATTTTGAAATTTTTTGCTTCAAAAAAAAAAGGGACACTCTACTTGAAGTGTTCACGTGGGTGTAACTATTTTGTTTGTTGCAGCAAATTTTTTTTTTTTTTTTTTTTTTTTTTGCGTGAAGAGCACAAAATGGGTATCAATAATCGTTGAGGGAATTTTTCCTTCTTTCAATTTTTTTCTTTCCATTTGAATTTTCCCAGTACTTTCATTCATTGCTCACATTTCTTTTTCCATGCATAAGTTTATGTAGAGAGTATGTTTGTTGGTTTTGAATAGGACATAAAAAATGTGAAAAAAAAAAAAAAAAAACGCACGTCAAAATGTGCATCCTATGTGGAGTTACGCACAGTTCTGTTTTGGTTTAACTTTCACTTGGCTCCCTTTCCGGTTACAGCTAAATGGTGTGTAGCTGTGTATCCCTTTTGTAAAGCGACAAATATGTGTGCCCGTTTTTTATACATGTTTTATGCCTGTCCTTTTTTCTGTAGCTGATTGTCCACAGCCACCCTTTTTAAGTGTCATTTTTTTCATGAACAGTTTGGGATGACATGAAATATAAACCCTTTTTGCAAAGTCTTAAGAAAGGCAACAAGTGAATATTATCCAAACCCAAAAGCAAAAATTTTACAATCGTTGATATTTCCTTAAAGGAAAATTATTCCCTTCGTTTCCGCTTTCTTGAAGTTACTCCGCACAGGTTGGAATTTTCTACTTATAACACACTTGGTCGTAAAAGCAAAAAAGAAATTACAACTTTTTCTTTGTGTATTTGCCACCACTTTTTGAACTACGCGCACACGCAAAAATGGCTCATGGAAACAGTAAAAAATATTGTGACCTTTCCGAAAAAAAAGAATAAAAGAAATGCATAAAAAAAAAAAAAAGTGCAAGAAGAGGACGGCTGCATTGAAGGAAGAACCTATAAAAAAACGACGCAGGACGAACAAAAAAAAAGGTAAGAGGCACAATGGAAGGACCAAAATCCTGGGCACACCTTCAGAACGCAGTACGAAAAAGAGCGCAGATGGGAAAGAGGTGACCAAAAGGGGCAATACATACCATGGTAGCGATTAAGGCGATTTTTTTCCTACACATATGAGGATAGAACAAACTTCTTTTTTTCCTTTTTGTTCTTTTTGTTTATTACTTTTTTTACAATGTAGAACCACTGAGGCGCTAAAGAATTTACATTTTATTTTTTTTTTTTGTGTTTACGTGGGCGCAAAAAAAAAAAAAAAAAAAAAAAAAAAAAAAAAAAAACTGTTGTAACCATATTTGATCTGCTGTGCAATAGAACAAATGTAGATTTGTCATGCTGCGTACTTTTCAATTTGTGTTTGTACATCTCGCGAGGGAATAGCAAAGTTAGTACAAAAAAAAAATGACATTTAAGGGAATGACCAAATTGGCTCGAGCAGTACTCATTTTCATGCGCATTCACAGTGATCAGAAAAACATATCAAGAAAGTGCCCCTTAGTAATCATTTGGCGAAGAAAAAAAAAAAAAAAAAAAAGAGCATAACACATAAACAGAGAAGAGCACTTTAGAAAAGGAAGGGAATGCAACCTCACAGAGGGGGCAAAAGCGCAAAACAGGTACAACAAAAAAAAATATATATATATATATAAACGCTTTCAATTTTGCATTATTATATGTACGCAATTATATACGCGCACATATTTTCTTATAAGCACTTATAATCTCTATTTGTGCACAAAAGCTGACACGCCAACCGCAATCTTCTTGTTGCACGCTTCAATTCTAATTTATAATAGTTGTAATACTTTTGACATGGGTAACCGTTCACGATGCAACTTTTGTAATTCATATGAATCTGCTCCAGAACAATTCTTGAGTGTTGCTATCACAAAATTGTCATTTTCGTAAATAAGTAATTTTTTTTTTTTTTTTTTTTTTTATTTAATCATTTGAGTTTTTTACTTCTCAAAGTAACTCCGCGATGTTATTAATTCAATTCTACAAAATTACGATCCCGTGAAAAGTAAGGTTTTAGCTGCTTTTTTATAATTCCATGTCGATTGCACCTTAGAGGTACATATAATCTGTACTAGTTGGTTGCTCGGGAACGTTGCTCTTATTCTTTGTGAGGACATTTGTGTATGTACGTTCTGTGTACATGTCATATGACCGTGTGTTGTGCACGTTCCAATGCAGTGCACCGGTGTACATGTGAGTAGATATGCACATGCGTGGAACGACCTCCCCGAGTGTTCTGGTGCCATTCGCTTGACCACATCACCGCGCCACCCCTTCACCGCTTTACCACTTCACTACCGTCTGCACGTAAATCCCCCCCGCGCGTTATATGGATATTAACACGCTAAAAGAAAAAAACATATGCATAGACGATTTGAGTAGGGCGCACAAGGAAAAGTACACAACGTTTTTTTTGTTAAACCCAGATGGTATTCTGGACTCGGTTGCAGGGTTAGAGAATTTGGCATTTTCGTTTGAGGACATTTCTTACAAAAATATTAGATGCTATAAATGCTTATCCGTTTTTACCTGTGAGAGCAGTGCTGTGTATAGAGCCTGTCCAAAGTGTCATGTTGTAAATGCACTAGTGCCCCAGGACAACATAGGACGAAAAGTTATTATTCTGATTTGCTACCATTGTAATAGTAGGAATCTGACAAACATTGATTGTTCATATGTGAAATGCTTTTTGTGTAGCCGTGTGAACCTTTCGCAGTACCATAGTGCTCATTTTATCGCCCCAAGTCACAGCGCCCATCCCAGCTCAAATCGGAAGCAAAGAAAAAAACTCCGACGCCTCTTCGCTAACATGTTTAAATGCTTAAGACTCAAAAAAAAGAAGAAGAGAGACGTTAGCCCCTCGTCGGGGAATAGCGCTAAGGAAAGCTGCGAAGAAAGTCAAAGTGGAGAAGAAGCACAAAGTGAAGTAGAACATGGGTCCATTCACAACAATGCCAGCATTGAAGAAGGTAGGGAAAATGACAGAGAGGAAAATCCACACGGACAAAGAGAAAACAACAAAAAACTCTTTAGTGAAGACAACACACATGGATATGAACCAGATATAAAATACACAAATGAGGATTATCGAAAAAAATTCTCAAAGACAAATAATAGTTTATATAATTCTAATATGAATTATATGCCCTACCAAAATGATAAGTTTCAAAATGATTACATGAGGAATTCGATGAGCAATAATGCTCAAATGGGTTACATGAAAAAGGGGACCAACGAATACTGTAACCCTTATATGGGCAATAGCTATAACAACAACATGAGGGTCGGAAACCCCTCTGTAGGATACTCAAGAGAGAACAATAATTTTTATAATATGAAATATGATAAGAACTACCAACCCAGCTATAGCCACAACAACATGAACCCAAATTATTGGAACAAGGACAATAAGGTATATGGAAACAATTATCACGATATGCACAGACCAGAAAAGTATAACGACAAATATGGAACTGTTGTTGAAAGTGGAAATGTTAAAAGGAAAACATTAATGTTTAATAACATCAGTGATTCGAATCAGAAAAAAGTGTATAAACCTATGAACGTTCTTGAGATGGATAAAAAAAGAGATAGTGATGTTAGGGCATGTATAGAATATTTCAACTCCCTACGTAAAAATAAAAATGACGATATTAAAATGATCCTTGAAAATCAAAACTTTAAAGAATTCAATATTCCAAGAGAGCATCTCGAAAATAGAGATTTCTACAGATATGTAGAATACTACAAGAAACATAACCTCAGAGATATAATAGACCAATTTAATGAATACGGTGCTAATGACAAGAACAGAAATAAAGATAAAGCTAATGAGAGTGGGAGCAGTAAGGGGTATGATAAAGGTAAGGGCGGTGCGGAGGATCCCTCCAGGAATGAAAAAAATACAAGTGGCAAAAGCACAGACAGTAAATCGAAAAAAAACAAACGCCCGGAAAATGACTCACGTGATAACTCTGATGGAGATGGAAGCGCATACCATAAGAAGAAAAAGACAAAGTGTGATCAGAATATAAAGCCCACTTTTTACACCTTAGAAGATTTGTTCGACTAAGTCTGGCATGCGCGCACAGCAGGGTAGAACGCTAAGCGGAGAAGCAGCGACGCGGCGAAGCAAACATATGTACATGGCCCCGCTTTTGTCGCCCAACTACAAACACACCGCTAAGAAGAACGAGATGCATAACGCCTTCTTATAATACTTCCGACACGCGTATACTAATTTTCCACTGCAAAAGTTCAGCAAAATTTAGATGGATAAGATGCCTAGTTGCCTGCCAGCCAACGCTGAGAAATGAACAAGTTACACACCAGTACCTGCATAGACATGCGCCACAAAATTGCGTATTTTTATTTGCAAAAATAAATAAATAAAACTGATTAATGACCATTTTTGAGTTATGTTTAGAATTTACTTCGTGCACGCTAGACACGTCGAAGATTTATTCTGTTATATTTAATTTTTTTTTTTTTTTTTTTTTTGAGAAATGTATTTGAATACATTTAATTACCATTCCCATGTTAATATTCATACCATTTGCTTTCACTTTTCCCCCTTACGTATTAATAAGGCACATTGTTGTATAGTAGAATATTTCTAATGAGCTTCCGTCCGGGAGTGCCAATAATACGCATGATCACATTTGACCACATGCTTGCAAGGGGATTATGATGTTGTGTTTTTTTTTTTTTTTTTTTTTTTTAAATTGCCTACAATACAGGGCAATGCTTCAAATATTTGTCCATTTAGTCAGGTATATATTTTCGTGTTAGCGAAGAAGTAGGGATATACACACGCGCGCGCGTGGTCTAAAAATTTTTAGTTACCTCTTTTGCCCCATGAATATGTATGCGAGTGCACATCCCACATTACAAATTTTAATTTTTTTTTTTTTAAACTTTTAATTTTTTTGTAATTTCGTAAAAAAAAAAAAAACTGTAATTTTGTTTTTCCGTTTTCCTGAATGCGCTTTTCTAAAGCATGAGTGGAGAGAATCAGTTTGCAAACCTTCCAGTCCGCGACACCGCACACAGATTTATGCGCAGCCTGCTAAAATTTTTAAACAAAAGTTCATTTCGGGAAGGCCAAAAGGGGTGGATACGGGTTTGACCAATAACACGATTAGTGGTTAAGACAGGAATGAAAAATACGCCAGGCGGTAGGGGGACCAATAAAAGACAACAACGTGCGTGCACACAATGTAGCATAGTTGCTATGCCATAGTATATATCCTCGTGCAGATTTATGATCATGCATATTCACGTACGTCAGGGGGGAAATAGCAAGAGGTCCACCACCAGGACAACGTCGAAAAGCGGAAGAAAGGAAACGCAAAAAAAAAAAAAAAAAAAAAAAAAAACGGCGCAAGCCAGGATTTGAGCAGAAACAATGGGACCAACCTTTTAAAACGCCGCAAATTTAATTGGTGTCGCCCTTTTCAATGGGGACAGCCCGTTACTCCTTCTCAAGCGGATACGACAAGGTGTTGAACACCTCGGTTAGCTGGAGACCCTGGGGGTGACTCAGGTACTCGCTAGTTTCCGCGTCGAAGACGGAAATGGTTTGGGTGCACAACAGGTGACCCATATTATCCGTTGGACAGTTGGAATCTAATAACAATTTCGAATTTGCCGTTGCTTGGAAAACGAATGAAGTTACTTCCTTGCTCTTATTTGTGCACTTCAATTTGGCATAATTAACGGATCTTCCTTTCCCAGCCTTGTTTAGTCTCGTATCAAAAGAAAATTCGTATTTTATTAATTGGCCATCGAACAGCAGATAAATGTCAATGTCCGATTCGCTACTCTTAATTGCTGTTATGCTGTAGTCCTGTCCGTACTCTAATTTTCTTATACATTTTGGCCCATCAATTTTTACGTGTATATATATATTTGGCGGAAGGGAAATAATTGCCACTGTGTCTATTTTTTTTCCAATTAGCTTTAATCCTGGAGATGGTAATTTAATCTCTATATCTTTTGGTATAATAATGTGTCCCCATTTAAATAGATGAACAAAAAATCCCCATTCTGCTCCTTCGTGAGTAATGTGTGGAACGAGTTCACATTTTTTCAGTTCACTCAAGGCAAAACCACCATATGCAATTGCTAAATTTGTGTGCGGATTAACACATAAAAAACCGTTATTAAAATCTACACACTTAACAGTTACATTGCTCTTTTCATTTATGCTTACAATTATTGCAGTTTCTGTATTTATCCGTATTACGGTTATGTGTTCATTTAGCATACCCACAATAATTTTCCAATTTTTTAAGAATGTAGGGAATCTCTCTCTGTGGTTGTAATTAATTTTTTCCTGCAACCCTGGAAGGCTTATATGTACGTCCTTATCACCTTCAATAACTATGTTACAATCATCCTTTCCCCAAGCCTTAGCATCATACTTTCCACACAAAACCGATTCAAATTCTTCTGGTATTTTTTCTAGTTGAGGTAGAAATTTAATTCTTCCGTCACTGAAGGTAGTAGGTCTGAGCATTATATCATCATGGTTTGTTAATGAATACCATCCTTTTTCATCGCAATATTGAAATGCATTCCATATGACAGCATTCTCTGGGGCCTTTGCAGTCTCGGGCGGGGTTTTGAAGGTACACTCTACAACATTCGTCATGTTTGCGCGGTGAGAAATTGTCACACGTGTAATGTGTTAAGAATGGGGAGGGGGGGCAATGCGTGGCAAATATAGTAGAGATTGCAGGTGAGGATATACACAATTCTGCTAAAAAAGTGGAAGAATGAAATAGCGTGAAACTACCGCTTATTTGGGGAGAAAGGAATGTTGTCCAATTTGGGATGACAACCGCGTCGAAGAGTGACGAACAAGAGGGGGAAAAAAAAAAATAGGAAAAACAAGCGTGTGCAGGGAATTAAGACTTACACATATACAAATTTAACGAGGAAACATAATTCTCTTATGAGTTTTTTTTTATTTTATTTTCAGTCTCTAAATTTATTGGCACAAGTTAAAGTTTCATGAAAACACAAAATAATTATTATAAAAATAGGGCATCTTATGCGAAAAAAAACAACAAAAAAAAAAAGTTACAACACATGCTTTTATAGCTGTCTTTTTTGTTTTTTTTTTTGAGTGAAAATGCAAGTTATTGATTATCGAAAAGATCGAAATATATTTTTTTTTCTTTTTCACCTGAACAGACCAGATAAAAAGGACAAATGGCTGTTTTTATTTTTTTTTTTCCTGACGTGTGTATATGTTTACACCCCTAGTTAATGCTTAAAAGTGGTACTCAATGGCTGTTTTTTTTTTTTTTTTTTTTTTTTTTTTTTTTTTTTAAATGACAAGAATTATTCCTGTTACTTTTGGCTTGTTGAAGAAACGTTATTTTAAGACTCAATCAAAAGTGTGTACATGATATAATTCTTTTCGGGATCGCTTAACACAAGCTCAAGGGAAGGAACAAATTGTGTTTCACTCATTTGACCGTTAATGCTACGTCGCAACACATTGTTTTTGTTAGTTTTATCGGTTTTTAATTTTTTGCTTTTTTTTTGTCTATGTGTGTGAAGTGGCACAATGAGCATGATATTGTGGCAACGCGTGCATGGGCTCATATGTATACGCGCGTGAACATGCAAGTGAAACAAACGTGAGCTTCAAAACGCTCTGCAATGCATAAGTACGTTTTTATGAGGACGTCTACAACGTTTCTACATAGTTAAAGGTGTTTTTTTTTTTCATTATATTCATCCCTTTTGTTTGTTACATCCTATGTTGTAAGAATTATTCTTGGAACAACAGGAATCCCTTCTTGGACGACATGGTCATGTGATAAAACTTGTTTAAGTTGCACATATTCATTTTGCACGAATAAAATAGTTATAAAAAATGTGAAAGGATCATTCATCAAAAGGTACACATTTTTATGCTATTTCTTTAAATTTTATTTTCTGTCTACATGTACTTTGTAAAATATGTACGCACCACGTCTGGTGACTTTTGTTCTTTTTGCAATTTATATTTTTCCAATCTTGCTGGAATGTTTTTTAATATCCCATTTCTTGCGTTGATATAAGCAATTTGAAAAAGATTGTAGAACATTTATTTATCATTTATTTTTTTTTTTTTATTATGCGAAGTATATCATAGCAGAATTGCACAAGTAAATTTATCATTCCTATTTCATGTTTACAACGACTGCATATGTACATTCAATTGAGCCTTTCTATGACGGGATATTTTAAACATTTGCTTGTGTATGTGTACCACAATATGCATGAATATGGCAAAGGGGATATAACTCTTTCTGCGACAGAAATCAGGGGAACAGTACGTGCACCATTTTGTTCTTCCTCGAATTCTGTAGTAATGTGCAGTATACAGTTCATATTTTGAGTTTGTCCTAAAATTTAATATGTGCATTTCGTAGTTTTTTTTTTTTTTTTTTTTTAATCCTTTTCATCATTAAAAAGGTGTCTAACCTCCTATCTGCTCAACGGCGGAGCTGGTTACTACATCAAATCGCAGGGGCGTTATTCTGTTTGTTCGGGTTTGTAGAATGCTCCGAACACTATTATATTAAAATAATTAAAATTATACCTCCCAATTTAACATCCGGGGGTTAATAAACCCATAAGTTTTTCCCTTGGTCCATATTTTAATAATTGGATGAACGGGAAAAAATGAAAATGTCTATTGTGTACACCATTCTACAATTTAAATAAAGACATGCATGTTTCCACCTTAGTTTGGTTCACTGTTCTGTTCTAAGAATTATTTTCTGTATGTTTAACATCAAGTAATGTTGTCATGCGTTTTATATGTACGAAATTAGCATGTACATTTGTCTTTACCTCAACACAGGAAAATATATATCCTTTTTTTTTTTCTTCTATTTAGTGTCACAATTGATGCATATGTTTTCTACCGTATCGTTAATTTTTTTAACACATTTAAACGTAAATTTTTGAATTTTTTTTTCTCTTTTTTACAAAAATGAGCAAAACTGTAAGAAGGGGAGAAATATACTTTAGCGGCGTTTTTAAATATTGTAAGAAGAAAAGCTCGCCAGTAAGTGATGATGCTGGTTATGGGGACTTTTCAACAGAGAGGGGACACATGCGCCCAATAAAGGAGAAAAAAATTATGCATAGAATAGGAAGGAAGCTGGAACGGGTTAATCAAGGGGAGGTGGACTTGGACTGGGAAGAGAATGTTGGTCCGGAGATAGACAAGATGAGCGAAGCGGGAGAAACTGAGCAAGAGGGAGAAGACGAACAGAAAGAAGAGAGGGGGCACAAACCAGAACGACTGTTACAAGGAGGCGAAAAATCGAGAGAGCAAATGCGAGAACGATCAAGGGAACAGAAGAAGGGGCCCCAAAAACTCACCACTATAACAGGCGACGCTGTGGAGGCACCCCGGAGAAGGCTTCCTCCTGATGGAATATTAAAAAAACGGTACCTCCCAAAACCTCGCAATGTGGATAATTGTCATGTTGAAGCTGCAGGTCCTAACGCCCCTGCCGAATTCAACAACGCGGATGTTTCACTAAATGACAAAAATGGTTACAGTGAACGTGAGCATTCTAGCATGTTATATAAAAAAGGACAAGGAAAAAAGCGAACAAAATCGAAAAATTCTTCTCCAAAAAAGCAGTGCGCTTTTAAAAAAAGTATCCTACTTAGAAAAAAAAAAAAAATGTTAAATGAGACTTACGACCATCCGATATATTTCGACATGTGTCACAGCTACGATGCTGCACAGCCACGAGGCAATAGATCTTACATAAAAAAAAGTAAAAAGAAAATAAACGGAGAGAATTGTAAGTACAAGTACGAACTGCCTACTATTGCATCATTGGGAAAGGTCAAAAAATTAAATTATTTAAACTTTACAATTAACGAAGATAAAATGACCAAACAGGAAAGGATGCTTCTGAATAATTTATCAAACGTGTGCTTTAGTCGTAGCCTTCTGCACGCCGTGGCCCAGCCACGCAAAAAGGTGAGGCGTAAAAGGGGAAAATTTGGTCCATAAGGAATGTTGCAGTGCTTGTGCGAAATGGGATTAGCACACCAACAGATGTTTCAAGAAGTGCATATATGCAACGTCCTTTTTTTTTCGCGTCGTACGATTCCATTTTGTTTTTATTCTTTTTTCCCTCCCTTTTCTTTGTAACAATTTTGTTAAAACATCATATTTATAAAAAGTTTTCTTCATTTGTGTGCAAGGGGGTATACCCTTTTTATGCGAACCGCCTGAACATTTAAGCCTCTCCACGTTTGTACCTGTCCAGTTTGCATTCGACAAATGAGTTGTCCACTCATGTGAATTGTACAGTCAAATGGTTTATGGACACTTATATCTTCCCGATTTTATGGGGCAAAATGGGAAGCCTTTTCTCCCCGCTCATTGTGGTTGTTTACATCCGCATAAATATATTTACAAGCGCGCGCGGCACTTAATTTAAACGCACATTCGGTGTGTGGGTTTGTATATATGTATATGTACCTATGTACAATCCACGCAGAACAGGAACAGGCACCGAATTTTTACATGTCACTCGCTTTATGCTGCTGCGTTTAGTGCTTTTTTTTTCCACAAAGCAACCTATATGTATGTTGAACCTGTTGTAAGTACGATTTGTTGCAATGCACGTTTTAACCTTAATGCTCGTTTTTCTTTTCAATTTTCCTGTTCGTCATAAAAAGAGCCAATAGAAATGTTTTTTTAAAATGGCATGTTAAAAGTCACATTTTATTCCACTAAAAAAAAAAAAATAAATTAAATTTTTATTTAAGTGGTCCACTTCATTTTCTGCACATGCAACAGGGAATAAAGGAAAGAAAAAAATGTGCACATAAATCTCCCTTTGGAGAATTTATTGTTATGAAATTCAAATATAACGAAATTATGTATGTCATCAGTTCGTTAAGGCCACTATTCCGCTCTCCATGGTTGCCATGCCGCGAAGAAAAAAAAAAAAAAAAAAAACATTCGTGTAACACCCTACCATATGTGATCTTCCAACAGGGGGCATTTTTCACCTATTGCATGCGCTCAGGAAAAACGCATACCGCGTACGTATGAATCATTCACGCAGCATCAAGCGTACACATATAACCACAACAGATGCGCACAAGTATATTATAAACATATGCTTATATATTTATATATATATATACCTATGCTCATTCCTATTTGTTCACGTGTACACTTCCACTTATCGTCCCCCCCACGGTTATGCACATAAAACAGTATGAAGCAAATTTTTTCATTAAAATCGATTTTTTTTTTTTTTTTTTTCGCTATATATTCTTTCACGTTTGTGGATACATGGTAACGCTTAAAAATATTGGCACAGTTTTTTGCTGCATTTGAACTGGCAAATGTTAAGCCGCAAAATGAAGAAGAAATAAAAGTTTAGCAACTAGCCTCTTTTAATTTCGCCCATAGCGTTAAAATAAAAATTGATATGTCAAGCCATTTTTAATGTTAATTAGGGATTTCATTTTTAACAAAAGCTTTTAACTATATTTATAACTGCATCTTTTTATATTTAAATGTAATTTTTCCCTTAGCCGCAACTTTAATCTTCATTTACAACTGCATCCGTAAGTATAATTTTTCTGTTTTTTTGTTCCCTAACGATTAAGCAAAAATTGCACATTTTTTTTTTTTTTTTTGCACTTCATTTTTCCCACGCCTGAGCATGCCTGTTTAACTGGCTAGAAGCGCCCGTGGTAATTTTCATATAAGAAAGGCAACTACGTCGAAAGGTAATCCGCCGCCTCACACACACAAGCACATTTATACATATATATATACATACATGCGTACGCGTACGTTCATATGCTTACATATGCGCATGCCTTGAAAGACGAACCTTTTTGTCGTACTCTCGCAGACGAACACGTAATCGCATATAGTAGCGAGGACTAAAGACATCCGAAGCAAAATGGCAATTGTTCTACCCAAGTTGAAGTACGCTTTGAACGCCCTGTCGCCCCATATAAGTGAAGAGACGCTGAACTTCCATTACAATAAGCACCATGCTGGGTACGTGAATAAATTGAATGGCCTAATTAAGGATACACCCTATGCCACGAAATCGTTGTTGGAAATTGTGAAGGAATCTTCGGGAGCAATTTTTAACAACGCCGCTCAAATATGGAACCACAGTTTTTACTGGGACTCCATGGGACCCAACTGTGGAGGGGAACCGCATGGAGAAATTAAGGAAAAAATTCAGGAAGATTTTGGATCCTTTAACAATTTCAAAAATGAATTTTCCAATGTGTTATGTGGCCACTTTGGATCAGGATGGGGTTGGCTAGCTCTCAACAATAACAACAAGTTAGTCATTTTGCAGACGCACGATGCTGGAAACCCTATAAAGGATAACACAGGCATTCCTATCCTAACATGCGACATATGGGAACATGCTTACTATGTTGATTATCGTAATGACCGAGCGTCTTACGTGAAGGCCTGGTGGAATTTAGTCAATTGGAATTTTGCCAATGAAAATTTGAAGAAGGCATTACAAAAGTGATTTTACGAGCCAGGCAAAAAAAAAAAAAAAACAAAAAAAAGAAAGAAATGGATGAATGAATGGCGTGAGACGACGTAATGGTTGTACATTTGTGGGTGTGTAGCATGTCGACACATTTGTGTGTACTATTCCTTTTTTTTTTTTTTTTTTTTTCCTGTTGGAAAATGTTTTGCCCGTGTGGTCAAGAATGCTTTATTATATATTTTTTTTTTTTTCTCTTGTAATATGTAGTGAGACAAGTGTGTTAATACGGAACTTTTCTGTAACAAATTTTGAAGCGTTTTAAATAGCTTATTAACAGACTGTTTTCCGTTGTGGGCAGCAGAAAAAAAGGGGACGCAGCACAAAATGGCATAAATGATATGCACATGAAATGAAGACAAACAAAATGTCAATTGTTAATCCATTTTTGTACTTGTGAACATATCAGAGCTATTCCTTCCTCTGGCTCAGGATTTTGGAATAATTCTTCATTCGTTCACTGTACTCAAACGGGGGCATGAAGGATGACGACATAACTTGGGCGTTTTCCTGACTTTACAAAATTGACGCACGTGTTAGGTAGTAAGGGGAAAGAGGGTGAAAAAAAACAAAAAAAACTCGGCTTAACGGATGCACACTTGTCCTTCCTGCTTAATATTTTCATGCTTTCCTCACATGTGTGCATCGCATAGGAATATCTTTTCCACCATAGGGGCTAATTAACTTCGCCGCATTTTAAAACTCCATGGCATGATGACCGGCGACAGGACAAACTGAAAATTTGTTTTTTTTTTCCTTTTTAACGTAACATCCGATCTGTTAAGCATGGTTTTTCTACAGCTTGCATTCCTTCTGTGCACCAAATGGATACTGTTATTTATTCCTTCAAAAATATCATATGTTAAATACATGGCAATATTTTTAACCACACTTATGTAAAAGGAATTTCCCTTTTCATCATTTTTGTTTGCGTGCTTAACAGAGGTGATAAAAGTTACGTTATCAGTTTCCTTCTCCTTCACCAGTTTTATCTCGATATTATAATCAGAATAATATTTGTGTAACGGAGTAAATATAAGTGTGCACAGAGTATCATCCCCATCTTTCACAATTTCATATTTTAGTGGCAAATGTATCCAATACTGTTTTTTTAATTTCCCCTGGAATAACAAAATGGGTCCTTCATGCATCCCTATTCTGATATAATCAAAAAGATTCTCCACATTTTCAAATTCTTTATATTTACAAAAATTGTATGAACATGTTTTTTTCCACTTGTAAGGTAAAAAATTTAAAAAATTGACAATATTGTTTACAACATATATTTGTCCTATTTCTGATTGGTCATAATTGTTGTGGAAATTCCTTTCGAAAATTTTGTTCTCATTAAATGTGTATTTTTTCACTTGATAATTTTTTTTAATCTTTCTAATGGCATTGTTTATGTAGCTGTTGGCGGGGACGAACAGGGAGTAGTGTGGGTCCCTTTGTAATGTGACACCAGACTGGTATACCCAATTAAGTGAGTAGGCTGAAAGTACCGATGTTGCTAACGCTTTTGCAATTTTAACTTTATTGTGTTGTGCGTATTGTGTTATCTTCTTCGAAATGTTAATTAATTTACCCAAGTAGTCGTCATCCTCATTTGGCAGTTTTATGTGTAACTGTTTGGATCATCCTGCTTCCACACATAGGGTGGAAACGTAAAACAGCACCAGGATGGTGAGCAGGTACACTTTATTCAGAACCATTTTGTTTCGCTTACCACGTGGTACACTTTTCACACATACAAATTGTTAGATGTATCTTTTATGTTCAGTCAAACGTGTGTTAGGGGCCTATTTTTCCGTGTAACACTTTTTTTTTTTTTTTCCCTGGCGTAGTTCGTCCGTACTTTATGTTTATGTAACTTTTTCAAATGATAAAATGTGAGTGTGTTGTTAGGACCATACAATGTTATGTCAAAGGACGAAGAATACCAAGTAATAAATAGAGGTACCCTTAATAATTTTGTTGTGGTCTCTTCTAGGATGTTATTTTTGTTTCATTTTACTCCACTTTTGGAGGCCTTCATATGGTAGATGCTACGTGGGCAATATCTCCACAACACCATTGTTGTTCTCTTTTTCTGCTTTTTTTTTGTAATGGTGCTGATCCGGGTCAACCCCCGAGCTGTATTGCTACGTTGCTATGTTGGTGTGTTCCTCCGTCGTTTTTGAAGTTTAGCTGCTGCTCCTGCACTTTTGACTTTCGCACATTTGGGCGAACCTGCACCCGCGGAGAGGGCACAACTACAGGAGGTGCAATATTCACCATACAGGCTTGTGGTGCGTCTCCCTTTTTTTTGAAAGCACGCCCTATGGTCGAAGGTGGAGTTGCCTTACACGACAGGTAGGCATTGTACAGATTCGTGTAGGTACTTATGTAGAAATGCATTTTGGCACTTCCCCCCATAAGCTTATGCGCTAGCTCAGTTCATCTTCCCAAACGGGACGCATTCCCTTGTTTGCAATTTCACCCAAAGTGGCTCCAAAAAAAATTATCCGCAGAACAGTATGCGGAAGTCGTAAAAAAAAAAAAGTGGTGGAGGAACTCATCTGAAAGGGTGCTAACATTTTACACCTCAGTCGGATCTCATTCGTGTAGGCATTCCAGCCTCTGAAAAGCTGGCACTTTTTTTTTTCACTTTTCCTTGAACACGTAAGAGGATGTAGAGTGGTATAATTGTGCCCATGTGAGCTTTGTCTGTCCCCGCCGTTCGTCACCTTTACCCTATGCAAGCGCAAGCAGATGGGAAGAGAACCATTTGGCTAGCGATTCCTAAGGGTGAAGAAGTTACAATTAAAGGGGTAGAACCACCTCTTCTCTGTGTGATATCGAGTGTATAATTTCCCCCCTCCAGTTTACAACGACTGCACCATGCTGCAAACATGAGCTTTCTTCGGACAGGCGGTTTAATTGCAAGCAGGGCTAGGTACATAAGGACGGGAAAATTTAAAGACCCGATAAGTTACAAACAGGTGGTAATTGAAAAAAAAGAGGAACGGAAAAAAGAAGTGGACAATATCAGGGAGAACCAAATAAAGTTTTTAGAACTTCTTCATTTCGATAATTTAAAAACCCCACAACCGAAGAAGGGGACGAAAAAAAAAGGACAAAATGGGGATAGCATAAATGCGAAGGTGGGAGGGAAAAGCCCCCCCACAGATGGAGCTACAAATATAAACACACGTGGTGGGATTGATTCGGACTGCTATACAGAATGGGGACAGAGCGAAAAAAAAAGTGATACAGAATCGGGCAAATATTACCGTGATACTTTCATAAAGAGACTTAAAAGGAAAATACTCCTTAGACGAATTATGTGCAAAGAAGGAAAGGTGGAGAAAGTCCAAGGAGAGGATTCCTCTCAGGAAAGAAAGCAAAGTCCCACTAATGGAAGTAAAACTGATTGTGTACATAACCAGTATAGTAATAGTCTAACGCAAGAACAGCTACAAAACAACTTTAGCAACATTTTTGTGGATAAGAAAATGACACTCAAGAAAAAAATTCACCTGATCAATTTTTCCGTGACAAATAGTTACGTAAGTAAAAAGTATCACATACAAGTGAAAAACGACTTGTGTGAAAATCGATTTAGCATATCAGAACTGAAATCAATTGGCCTTTTTGATGAGCTGGAAATGAGCAACGGTAAAAGGGATACGCCAGACGTGTCTGCCTCGGGTGCATGTTCCCACGCGAGCGCAGACGCCCAAGCAGAGGCAACGAACGACATATATGATTCACAGGTGTCTAGTCAAAATCAACAAAATAAAAAAAAAATTATGAGAAAAATTTACAAGGCGTCCATAAACCACGTGCGGGATGAAAACCTGTGGAAAAAATACGTGCAAAATACATTTATCATATCAGGGTATTTAGACGCAAGCGACATAGTAATTCTATTTTGGTGTTTTGGAAAAATCGGCTATAGAGATAAGAGGCTAATAAATTTGCTAAGCTCTATACTACTGAAAAAGATAAACGACCTGACCCCCTGTGCTTTAGCCTTATTACTAAATAGCTTTAAAAAATTAGAAATAAAAAAATATGACACTATGGAATTATTAACCAATCAGTTTTGTTTACATATGCAAAAGTGGACATCCCAAGATATAGCCCTGGTTGCTAATTCTTTAGCTTTTTTTTATATATATCATAAAGTGTTTTGGAAAAAATGCATTTTGAAATTGCAAAATGGGTATTACTTTTCCAGCCCTTTACATTTATGCCTTATCATATCAGCCTTAGCAAGGCTAGACATCAGAGAGGGTAACGTTTTATTATCCCTAAGTAAAGGGGCCAAAAAATATGCAAAACAATTCAGCCCAAATAATTTAGCTCTTGTTATTCATTCTTTTGCAAAGTTGAAATTTTGTCATCCCAAATTTTATAATTACTTGTATCAATTTGTTCATACATATTTAGATAGGCAGCTTTTCATCGATGGGTCTTGCAGAAATATCGCCTTAAAAAATGTGTCCCCTGTTGGAGGAGTGTACCCTCAGGGGCAGTCTACACCAAACAGTCCTGACGGTGTGGCTACTATGTGTAGTGCGCAAGACGCGGGGGACGTGTCCCTTGTTTCTCTTCCCCCAGGTAGGGGACGTCAAGAAGACGCTAACTTCCAGATGAGCAATAGTAGTAGTAGTAGTGGCAGCGTCCGAGGAGAAAGCGTGCGCGACACACCGCTTCAGAAGAACGAGAGGAAGGCCCACTTCGACCTGCAGTCCCTCGTCCTTCTACTCTTCTCGTGCACATGCCTAATCACCTGCACGGAAAATATGATCCTGAAGCTGACCTATCTGGTCCTCCCTCTGAAGGATCATCTGGGCAGTCACAAAGTGGAAAAGCTGAAATATGTAAGTGAGTATATACAGTATAACTACCCAGAAACTTTTGCAAAATTCCCCAAAGAAATAAAAATGTTTTATAACTATATTGATACATATGAAATTAAAAAAAAAAAAAAACAAGTCAAGTATGGAGCAAGGTGGATTAATGAATTGTCCAAAATTCTAGCAAGAATAAATGTAAGTCATTTAAAAAATATTTACATCAATCATATATGTGCAGATATAATGCTACCCGACTCCAACGTGGTCATTATGTGTTTAGGACCATATAGTTATTACGTAAATTCCTTGGTGACCACGTCTACTTCTGATTTGAAGAGATCCATTCTTGAAAAAAAAAAATATAAGGTTATCCCCCTGAGTTACCACGATTGGAACAAGCTCAACGACTACGAGGAAAAAATTCGCTTTCTCTACGCCTTCGGGCGAAATGCGGCAAACTATTTGTTCGTGAGCGCGAAAAAGGAAATGGAGGAGGGGGAGAAATCGGGCGAGGCGCAATCTGATACACATGCATCAGGGCATATTTCCACATCCTCGGGGGGTGCAGAACGTGGAGGAAGCTGCCAAAGTGAGGGCGAAAACGTAAAGGAGGGGGAAAAGTGGGCCCCATTTCATGGCCCCATGGATGAGTCCAAGCAGCAGAGCATAAATCAAGCGAGCGAGCTAAATGAGCAAAGTTACACTTCCGATGAGGACGAAGAAGTTATAGATTTCATAAAAAAGGGAATCAGCGTTGATGGTGAGAATGAAGAAGACCCAGACAGGGACCAAGTCGAATTAGAGGACATAAAGAAATTCTTGGAGGTTGAAAAGTTGTGAAGGGGAGGGGCTCCAACTGTTGTATCAATATTGCCCAATGCTCCTTTGCGTCTGTCCCACTGCATATCGATGTGGGCCTAGAAGGGGAAGTACCTGCTTGGGCGCGTCCTCTCACATTTCGTAATAATTTTGCGTTGAGTGGGCATTTAAGGCCCCTATATTCGTTTCAGCGTATTCACACAGGCACGCACAATAGAGATGTGTTAACATATGCGAACACCCCTCTGCGGTACATCCCGTAATAACGAGAGCATTCTGATTTAAATAGATAAGGATGCATAAAAAAAAAAAAGGGTACATATAAATAGTTGACGTGGAATGCCCTACCGTATTTCCCTTTATTATTCACATATTGAGTTCGAATTCAAGACAGACGTGCTTTTCCATTATTGCCACAAATTCGCGTGTAGGAATAAGCAACACATGACAAATTCGACTGCGCAGAGTGAATGTTGTACAAGAAGGCATCCTGCCTATCTTATCTGATCATTCTCTGTAGCGCTGCCAGTTTGTCCTTTTTTTTTCTTTTTTTTTTTTTTCGTATGAATGTGTCCAATTTTTAGGGACATATTAAATGTGCTGACGTACTTCTCAATCTGCTACGCGTTATTTATACCTTTTTTATGTTTAAAAATTTTTTTTTTTTTTTAGAAATTGTTTAAGCGTTAGAGTGTGTCGCATCGCCCGTTAAAAGTAGACAAACAGAGGCGGGGGAAGGGGAGAACAAAAATGAAATATATCAGAACAGGGGTTGTTATAAGTAAAAAGGGACATGTCCTGCTTACCCTTTTCTACACCACAAAGCGGGTTATACTTTTTTATTTAAAATTATGTATTCATTTCGATTTATTATGTTAAATGTACGCAGTGATGTTGTACGCATGGCTTATGTTTTTCTCTGCACATGTGCCGACAGGCAAATACACGCCGGCGTGGGCATTGCTGTTGTCATGATTTGCGCTTGGGCATCAAAATAGCGACAAAGGGAAAAAGGGCTACATGGAAATTATAAGCGCACATAACGGAATGGAAATCATTCTTGTGCTTATCTTTACCAGACTCACTCAGATGCTACAGTTGTTGCATTTTTGCGTTTCATTTTACGAAGGTCGGGAGGGGTGGAAAAAATAATTGTTGCACATCCATCCGTGTTATACACATACAGGAGCGCATACCATTATATGCATTTGAGGTTCTGGCATAAAAAATGTGTATTCCCTGGAAAAGGCTTAATTGCGTGTTAGATAATTTTTAAAAAAATTAACTCCAAAGGGAATCACACAATGGCGCACATACATATTGTTATGCACATTGGGGGAATTGTACCCACCTCTGCATGGATGATGGGCATATAGTCGTTTGCGATTGTTCGTTTTTTTTTTTTTTTTTTATTTTAATCCTACCCCTTTATGTGAAAACATATTGGAAGGACAAAAAGTATGCCAAAAGGGGGTTCACAAATATACAGACAAAAAAAAGCACAAGTAGGCACCACGTATAGTAACATGGTTTATGAACATATGGGGTATGCCTTGCGTACACGTACAAGTGTTTGGAAGCAGTTTGTCGATTTGTATAGACATACCCATAACACATTCCCCTTTGCATCCTTTATTGTGTCATATTTGTTTTTTTTTTCACCTGCTCCTATGCGTATATATTGCAACCATTGCAGCACACGTACTATAATACATCACATTGCAGCAGCATATTATATAGCAGTATACACCCCTGTATTGGTAATTTTTTTTTTTTTTTTATTCTTTTTGCCAGGGCTTTGTGATTATTAATTACTAAGATAAATACATAAAAGGCGCATACGTATTTTTAATGCTACATGCGCGCGTACATATGTACATATAAATATAATCAAAGTGGGTGCATACGCAACGATGTGTTTGGTTCATCCAAATTATTTCAAATAAAAAAATATAACATTTAAAAGTGGGGGGATATGAACAACAAAGAAGGCGCTGCGAACGAAAGAAAAAACGATTAAGGGAAAATACCACAAAAACAAAAAAAATACCTAGTGCGCAACGTTAAGGAATTAAAATGGGTATACGCTAAATATGCATATATGAGCAATACCCACGAGAATATATATTTATATTCTGAGGTTATCATCGCTATAAGTAACTCATTACCGCGTACATGAGCGCACTGCTGTGGGCAAATAAATAATACCTTTGGAAAGCATACGCGGCGCTACCCCCCCTGGGACCGAAGGCGAACAAGCAGCACTTGCGAGTACACGTACTTTTTTTTTGTGCCCGCCGACATGGCGCACATACACCTCGCATAGCACATACAAAAGTACGGGCACAATTTTTGCAAACTTTTAGCTGTGAAAAAAATTCATATATATATATATAATTATATATATAATCCGCAAACTGGCACATGTATACATATATTATGTATTATATATTTTATATATGCACATATGCGTTTTATATATGCGTATGCGCCGTACATGTATACATGTTTAATCTTCCATATGCATATTTATACATGTACATAGTACATTTTCTTTTTTTCTTTTTTTTTTTTTTCTCACATCCATATGTAGCTTTAAAATTTCGCAGCAAGCGAAGAAGAAAAATAAGAAGTTCATGTGCCATCGCCAGCGTAGATGTTTTTTGTGCTCCATTTGTATATCGCCAGATTGTACTTCTTATATATATATACTGTTTTTTCTTTTGTACATTTGGGCTGCGGCTGTGCCTACGGATGTATGGAATGTTCGCGCTGCTATGAGTGTACCCCCCAGCGTGAGTTTCCTATCCCCCGTGTGAATTACCTGTGCGTGTTTATACGTTTGTGCCGCCCGTATGGTGAATCTCCTTCACTTTAAGTTAAACATGGGTTGCGCTAAAAATAAATGAAGCACGCAAACAGAGAGAGAAAAAAAAAAAATAGCGTGATATAAAAAGGGGAATCAGAACGAGAAAAATTACGAGAGAAAAAAGAACTTATAGAAAAGGAGAAGGAAAACCACCAGTGTAGTGTGATTATGAACAGCAAGGATGTGAATGAAAAAGCGATTTATCAACGCTAGTAGAAAAAAAAAAAAAAAAAAAAACAGCTAACTCGAAATCAACAATGAATACAAAAGGGGGGTGAAACGAGCGCGACATATGTATACACGCACTAAGCCGTACATATATGTATATCCAAGTTAACGCCTTTGTGGGTGTCTTCGCTGCGTTGCCCTTGTCGTCGTCGTATTCCCAGTTGTAGTGAACCAGTAGGCACACGCGTTACGTGCATTGTCCCTTATGTGTGCATATACTTGGGCCTACAACATTGCAAGCGAATGCGCCATATAGGATACGTAGGGAGATCCCCTGCACACGTGCAAGCAGTTTGTTACATGCACATTTGCGCACGAGTTCCTCCGCACACGGCATTCATGCATTCGTGTTGTACGCCCATTTGTGGAACATGTTATGCCACATAATCTAGCCCCAACCTACCCCTTCTCCTTTATCATTATCAACAAGTACGACATTGTTTTTTTACCAATTCATTAGTTGTTTACCATCGTGTGAATGTTCATGCATGAGAGTTGTGTTCATTTTTTTTTTTTTTTTGCCACAGCGGTTTCGCTTCTCCTTTTTGTTTTCTTAAGTTGCATTACGCACTAAATCGATAAAAGTTCTGTGCCAAGATGGAGGCAAGTAACATCGCACAAGTGTTGTATGCAACAGTAGATCCAAACATAAGCATCCGTTCAGAAGCAGAGTCCAAGTTAAAGGAAGCAAAGGAAACAAACTTTGTCCAGTACATAAATCAGTTATCAAATGAATTCTGCAAAACGCAGAATGATCCCTACTTGAGACAAATCGCGGGACTACTAATAAAAAATGCCTTTGCGGCCAAGGACAATTATGAAAATGAAGAAAAGGCAAGGACGTGGGTTAACTTCCCCGAAGATATAAAAAATGAATTAAAAAATTCCATGTTACATTTGTTAAGTCAGCAAGGAGAAAAGGTAGTCATCGGAACAGCGTGTCAAATAATATCCTTAATAGCCAAAATCGAACTCTCGCATAATAAATCATCCGAATTGCTTCACAAATTAGTGAACAACATAATAGAAAAAAATGCCTACACAAAAAAATCTTCCACTGTATGCCTGGCGTACTTAACAGAAGATATAGCTGATATTTGTAATGAGAGTAAATCCAAATATGTCTTTACACAACCAGACTTAGATTTAATACTAACAGCAATTATAAATTCGTTATGTGAACCAGGGGAGGAAGAGTCCGTACATTGTGCTAGTATGAAAGTGCTATACAACCTGATGTCATTTATTGACCAGAATTTTAAAACTCAAGTGGAAAGAGATATAATAATGAAAACGGTTATTGATGGGTGTAAAGATAATGAGAGATCTACAGTACAAATTGCAGCATATGAATGCCTAATCAACATTGTTAGTTATTTTTACTCTTACTTAGATGCATATATGTATGCTATAGGTCCTTTAACATGGGCAGCTATCGAGTCGGACAACGAAAGGATAGCTATAAGTGCCATTGAATTTTGGAACACAGTATGTGAGGAAGAAACTTTTATAGATCAGTATGAATTACAAGAAGGGAAAAAAAACCATAATATAGTAAAACAGGCAATGGTATTTCTTTTGCCAAAAATATTTAACGCTATGATAACTCAAGAGAGTGAAGACTTAGACATCGATGCCTGGACCTTATCCATGGCATCTGCAACATTTCTAGCCCTGAGTGCACAGTTACTCAAAAATGATATAGTAGAACCCGTAATTTCATTTGTGGAAGAAAATTTTATACATGAGGATTGGAGAAGGAGAGATGCTGCTGTTCTGGCATATGGATCTATTATGGAAGGTCCAGATACGGAGAAATTAAAACCTCTAGTAGAAGAATCGGTGGGGCAACTCTCCGAAGTTTTAAGAGATCCATCTGTTTCGGTGAGAGATACTGCAGCATGGACTATAGGAAAAATAACGACTTATCATTCAGAAATTATTTATAACGTATTAGGTAATTATAATGATAGTAATTCGCTGTATGGCATATTGCTGGAGAGACTAAATGACTACCCAAGAGTAGCGGCAAATGTCTGCTGGGTTTTTAATCAACTGGCTGCCAATAAGAGAAGCTCATTTAACAAAATGACAAATAGCTGTACAACCGAGTTGGACGACTCCTTTTGTGTGTTATGCAAAAAATTGATCGATGTAAGCTCTAGGGAAGATGCAGACACGAGAAATTTGAGAGAAGCTGCTTTCAATGCACTCAATGTGGTCATAGATAATGTTTCAGATAATTGCCTGAAATATATGATAGAGTTGCTGTCCCATATGATGTACCTTTTGACGAATACTTACTTGAACCCACTAACGGAGGAAGTGAAATCCTTGCAGGGGTACTACTGCGGCACCATGCAATTTATCATTAACAGATTAGGAAATCAGTGTAAGCCTTTTCTGAAGCCAATTTATTTAAGCATATTTAGGTTGTTCGAAATTAGAACGGACATTTGTGAAGATGCGTTACTTGCATGCAGTGCAATAATAAACGTAATGGGAGAAGACTTTAGGGAACACCTAAAAACATTCCTTAATGTTATTTTTAAAGGGTTGAGAAATGTATCAGAGACGTCCACGTGCAGAATATGCATCGAAATGATTTCCGATATTTGTATCCCCTGGACTTTTGAATTTGAAAAAGAAATGGAGTTAATTTTAGAGTGCCTATGGGACGCATTAAAAACTTTTGGGGTGCATGACTCTATAAAAATTAGTATCCTCACTGTGTTAGGGGACATTGCAACAGCGTTGAATAGAAGCTTTTCACGTTACTTAAATTTCTTTGCTAATATATTGGCAGAAACATCCAAAATAACTATTGCCTCTGGGTCACCCGAAAATGATGATTGGGTTAACTACGTGTTCGAGCTCAGAGATGCCATCCTCCTAACATATAGTAATATCGTTTATGCACTAATTGATGGAAATGAGATTGTCAAGCTAAAAGTTTACATCACAAACATTTTAGACCTAATCGAGTTGATCCTCATCAAAGAAATTAATCACTTCAATGCTCAGAATTTTCAAAATGCCGTCTCTCTTTTAGGAGATTTAGTACATGCATATGGTTATGAGTTAATAGAAAATTCCAAGCTCACTGATTTGATCATATCGGTTTATGGCAAAATTGATATTTTGTCAAGTCAGGGCGATGAGAAATGTGATTCCTGCGTTTCCAAAATTAAATGGCTCAAGAGGATATGCAATGCGCGATTGGGGCAAAAATGAAAACCCTTCTCTTGCGCGTATATATTTTTACGGCTTCTTCAGTGGGGCAATTTAAAGTGTTATGCAGCAGTTGAGGGAGAAGGGTGTAAAATCCCTCACATGCGATACCAAGGCGCCTTGTGCCTATGCAACTGCAGAGCCAAATGAGCAAAATGGTCGCCAGACAAATCAGTCGAAGAAGAAATTCAGTAAAATTAATCGCGCCTGAGTAAATCGCGTCCACCTCTACCATTTTATTATTTCACCCCAAGGCAAGATATATAATTTGCGGGCGTGTCCCGCCTTATCTTGGAGTTTCCTTACCCCCATATGTTTTCCAAGTTTTATATGTTTTTTTATATTTGTTTTTTTTATCTTCTTCTTCTCTTTGCTTCTTTGCCTTGGTTTGCGGCTTCGCAACCTCTCCATCTCTTTTCTGCATTGCTGCATCTCTATTGCTGCTTCTCCATTGCTGTCACTCATCTGCCCCTAATTTGCTCTCCCTCCCACTAGTGCGTAACTGTGCACAACTCTTTAAACAGCTTGTCTCTTAATCATATGACACCTCGTTGTGTGTGCATGTGTGTTCTTTTTTTTTTTTTTTTTCCACCCGTTTTCCGCATACCAATCCTTCACCCCCTGGGCTTCTTCCCTCCCTTCTGATAATCCTTCTCGTATCATTTATTTTTTCCAATTTTTCTACTTCTTAATTATGCAACTTCTTAACCTCTTAACTTCGTTTTTTTCCTGTTCCCTAATTTCTCTCACCATCACATTATATCCTACCCCCTTGTCGCATTTAAACTGTCTCATCTTGCCATCTGGCCGCATCTCAGCAGTCTGACCAATGTGAGCCGTTGCCAATGTTTTAAAACCTACTCACAATTATTCCAACTCCCCAAAACGACTTCCCTCCGCTTCCCTTTTTTTTGATCGTACCCCCTTTTTATTATTTTCTGGATTATCCTGAAAACAGCTTGTTATTTCCTTCGCCTCTATACCACTGCAGCGTTGCTCTCTCTACCCCCGCCGTGATGAATTACTTTCATTTATTCTATATGCTACCCACCCGCACACGTGCTCTGTTTCGTATCAAATAAGCAATGCTACTATCCATGTTGCTTCAACCAATATATAATTAATAACTTGCAATTTTTTGCCCTGCGCGCAAATCTTTGCTCAACTCCTTTCCTTTCTGCATTCCTCCCTAATTCATTTTATCTGTCCTGTTCCTTCTTACCTCTTTAAAGATAACAAAAACCCACCACATCACTCGCTCATGTTTGCGCTAACAGTGCATACGTGTTACTTTATTTTAACTTAATTAAACTATTCCTTTTCGCTCTTTTTTCTCCCAATTAAAAAAGTCTGTAATGTATTTTTTTTTTTTTTTTTTTCTCTTGCTAAGCCATTTCGCACACAAGGGTGCTCAGAAGAGTGTAGCTATAGTTGTCTTTTCTCCGTTTTGAGATCCTAATTTTTTTTTTTTTTTTTTGTCGCCTCATTGAGACGTTCCCTGTGTGTGTTCCACTTCGTTTTTCTTGTTTTTTAGTAGCACCCACAAGGGTAGCACACCCCACTCAAATTGTAAGAATTGTTTTAAAGTATAAAAGTTCCCCTATGCAAGGTTTCGCTTTACCATGGTAAAATAGTAACCCTTTGTCAGCACAACAGCTCATTTGTCCATGTCATGCTGTGCGGTGGGCCCCCCCAACTGATTTTTTTTTTTGGAAAAACGTTATATTTTTATTTTCTATATTTATGATTCCTCAAGGGTTCCCCACGAGCAGGTTAAAAGAAAAAAGAACGAAAAAGCAAACATGGTGGCAAATACATGTGTGTACAGCTATTTGTACACCTGTTATGCATGCACATTTCCTATGTGCACCTTACGCGTGTGGCGACCGACGCAACTGCAGTTAGGAAAATGATTGTGCGTTACTACATCGCTATACGGATCTTTAATTCGAGGAGCAACGATGGTGTAAACACAACGCAGTGATGTGAAGAAATATATTTGGGTGATTTTTTTTTTTTTCATCTTAAAATATTCCATTGTGGGAAGTCAGTCGTATTTTTATAAAAATGATACATGTAGGCACGACTTGGGCGCCACCTGTGGAGAGAAAGAAAAAAAGGCGGAGTGAAATTCAAGGCGCATGTGGCGGGGACGGGAGGGCGACGAAGTGGGAAATGCGCTCAGCAGCGGGAAACGTAAACTGACGTGCCCGGCTCGTTCGTGTATATCATGCTCCACCCCAATGGTACGGCCTTCAAAAAGGCGATGAAGAAAAAAGATATAAAAATAGCTAGCGGTAAAGCGAAACCGTGAAGGCAATTGTCATCCTGCTGCCTAGTGACGTGCCCCTTGCCCACATCACAAACAACATGAAGGCCAGGAAAACTTTCGTTCTAGTCATCGGGGGGGGTCCCACGGGGATCACGACAGGGATGTACCTGCAGAAGCACAGAATACCACACATACTAATTGAGAGAGATAAACATATCGAGAAGGTACCCAAAGCACACTATTACAATAACCAAACGATGGAAGCATGGAGGGGCATTTTCCATCTAGATAAATGTTTCCTAAACGAAACGGAAGACGTGAATTTGTGGAAAACCTTTCAATATGGATTAAGCTTGAAGACGGACAAGACGCTGTGCAAGTATGATAACTTTAGGGACAAGTACATGTACAAGAATACGTACTATGAGGACATTAGTCCCTCCAAGGTCACCCACTTGTCCCAGTACAAACTGCTGGGCATCCTCTACAGCTACTACTTGAGCCAAATAAAATGTGACCCCCGGCAAAAGCGGGCATTTTTAAAAAACATAAGGCTAAAGTTGTCAACCCACCGAATGTTGAGGTACATTTGTAGAAACAGTGGATTGGGGGGAGAGGAGACAGACCAAGCGGTAGGAGCGGATAAAGAGATACATAAGGGAACAAATGAGGGAATGGATAAAGACGCCACAGGAGAAGCACTTTATAAAAATTATTTCTCCTACGACATGTCCGAATTTCTGGTAGGATATGAATTTATCAATTTCGGGAATGTCCTGCGACAGGGGGAGAATTCTTGCCATCGAGAGGTGAATAACCATATGGGAAATAATTACGATGGAGTTGACTGGGACGCCCCACGAGATGGCTTCTACCCCCCTTATGGAATCTCCCCACAGGGTGTTGTATCTCGGGTTAAGAATTTGCATAACAACGAAGAAGAGGTGATCCTAAGTAACTACGTTTTCGTGTGCGAGGGGGGAAAAAGCGAAATAAAAAAGAGTCTTAAGATAAATGACGAAAATAAGAAGGATTATATGAAGTTTATAAACATTCACTTTCAGTCATTACGTCTGAGCGATATTGTAAAGTGCAACCCCTCCATGTTATACTTTTTATTTTGCGAATACCTAGGGGTGTTAGTTTCTCACAATTACAAACAGGGAGACTTCGTTTTACACATTCCGTACATAACCGAGAAGGAAGCAGAAATATATTATGACAAAAGTAAGTGCCTGGGAATAACAAACAAGCTCACTGGTTTCGAGTTGCCGGATATGTGTATTCATAATGTGTATAAGTGGACCATGCATAGCTCAATTGCCTCCACATTTATGGACAAAAGAAGTAAGAGGATTGTGTTGTTGGGGGATGCGGCTCACAAATTACCCCCGTCAGGAGGATTTGGCTTAAACCTAGGCATTGGAGATGTGATAAATATAGTGTGGAAAACTATTCGAATTTATAATTTAAAAAAAAAAAAAATTCTCGACAACATTAGGAGGAAGGTGCCCGAGGTATGTAATGCGCAAGAGGATGCTACTCCCAAATCACATGCGGAGAGTGCCCTGTTGCTGGGACTTAACAAAATAACACTCCCTTTTAACATGTTGAACAGATTGGAAAAAAAACAAATAGAGAATTACATCGAGTCGTATAATATTGAGAGGAAGTTGGTGGCTAATTTCACCATACACCACGCTGTTAGAAATTACGAAAAAGGAAATAACGTACCAAGTTTGCTAGGATATAATCACAACTCTTTTGTAAGATATGTGAGTTCTTGTAGGGTTAACTGCATTCAAAAGTCGCTCTTTTTTTATTACCTACTTGCAAATGCTAAAGGACTCTTAAAATTTATTAATAACCTTCCCTATGTTTTCGAATTCAATCGAGCACGAGCAGAAAATTTTGTCCAAAATGAGCGCAAGAATATTCTCTCTTTGCTGTACCCTGGTGTGGACTTTGGCTATTCTTACGTAGATACCATGTGTGGTCTTGGAGAGATGGAAAAGGAACCCTTCTCCGATTTGTCCATCCAGGGAAAGAGGCTTCCGTCAGATAGGAGCGGCAAGAATGAGGACTCCCCCCCCGAAGGGGTTAGCAGCTCTATTGAAGTGGAAGTCTGTCTGGGGAGGGGGGAAAATGGGGGAGACACACATGGTGCTGCAGGCAATGCCAGGGAACCCGACCAATGCGACGAACTTGGCCAACTTGGCGAACGTGAACACAGTGGCCAGCAGGACGACCAGCCGCATCACAGTGGCGCGTGTGACGCCCCCCCAAAGTACAACATTTTCGAAAAGCAGAATGAGAAGATACCCAAATTGAAAATATGCAAAAATATATACGACCATGCAATGAGCAACGTGGTGGGGGCCAAAATACCCCATTTTAATCTCTACACATTTGACTCGAAATATATTTACAAAATATCTACAGTGGATCTACCCATATTTAACAATCCCTTCTTATCCATTTTAATAATCCTATTTAATGATACAACTTTAAATGACATGGCTCACTTCTTACACGCACATAATATACCAAGAGATAAATTCTCCTTCTGCTTATGGGACACGGACGTTGTGGTAAGCAAAAATGCGGAGGACCAATCCATTCGAATTTTAAAACGGGAGGGTACTACGATGGTAGATAATGATGACTCCTCTTATATGAGTATACCTGTAAATGACTATGTCCTCTTTCCAAAGTACGATTATAATTTTGTGGGAAATGCCAGAAATGTGAAGCATATACATTTGGATGTGAAGGAATACAACGTGAGCTATGTGTTCACGGCGAACATAATACGCGACCTGTTTTTTGATACCCTCATGTTGAAGTCGGATAATTCATTCGTAATTTTAAGACCCGACCGGCATATCATATCGGTTGGGGAAGGCAACTGGGAGGACCACCTACGGGATGTCCACGAGGTGTACATTTGACGTTACCTGGGAGCGAAGCGCGCCCTGTTCTCTGCGCGGTATGTGCGCTGTGTGCGGTGTGTGCGGCTCTGCGTACTATTCTTTGTTTGCTCTCCGTTGGCATTATCTGCCGGTACTTTGTGTAAAAAAAAAAGGTGCAATTAATTTTACAATTTGTATTAATGGCCTTTTTACCCTTTTAAGGGGAACACGCAAAAATTATCCTTGCGGCCCCTGCTTCTACATACACAACACATGTGTCTACAACTCCGTGTATACCTGATTCTCTTTGAGCGATGAAAATTTGGTCACAGTGGATACCCCATAGGAAATGGGGACAGGGGGGGTGAAGAATTTTCCCCAAACATGTACCTGCCGTTAGTGGCACGGCTTATTTATTTATCTTCGCCTCGCGAAATGTACGAAATACGAATGAACACGTTTAGTTTTTCCTAAAACAACGGTATTCAAAATCGGAACGTAGTGACGAACATTTTTCTTAACATGTTAAATTGAAATTAACTCAAGTTAACAGAGACCAACATGGAAAAACAAAAAAAAAAAAAAAAAAAAAAAATATATACATACATACATATAATGAAAAAGATTATCACAACGTGTAAAAAGACTAAGGGGCACAATTATAAATATCTATACATAGGACGCAGGGTTATTTTTTTAATATGCATAAAGTATGGAGCACAATAGTAGCACGGTTTTTTTTATTATTATTATTTTTATTTTTTTGTTGCTCTTATACGCATATAGACATATATACAAATATAAATTTGTGCAACAAAGCGGCAAATAAAAAGTACAAAGCTGTCATAGTTTTGTTTTTATAAATTCATCAATTGATTATGCACTGGGGAAAAATTAAAAAGAATAATAAGCGCACATATACAAGCGTTCATACGCACATTTGCACTTGGTCATATTGTACACACACATGTGCCCCTTCTGAGGGCACATATAACAACTAGAACAAAATTAAAGATAATGTCCAGAGCGCCAATTTTGCGCGATGCTTCGGTTAGACAGTCGTAGGAGGCACTCACGCGGGGGTCTCACGCGCTAGCATTGACGCAGTGGGAGATTTAATAAACACATTCTTAAATTAAGGCTAATAGGGAGACCCCTCCCACCGTGTTGAAAGGGTTATACAAACTCACTTATACAAATAACGCACGAATCGTGCAGCTGCACAGGAGGAACTACTTGTTCGGTTCTGTTTTTAAAGTTGAGCATTTAAGGTGGGCATAGGTTTCGCAGTTGGAAATGTTCGAGGGGTAATCGGTCTGGACAGTGGTATGCAGAATTTTATATTTATTCTGGCACAACAATGTAGCGTTATTTAAAACTGTGTGTGAGAAGTTTTTGTGTGCAACTATATGACACGCGAGGGCTGGCTTTCCAATTGATAAGGACCAAACGTGTAGATCGTGAACGTCTATGACCCCGGGTATCTGGAGCAGGTCGTTTTTGATATCGATTAAGTTTATGCTGACGGGGGTTCCCTCCATAAGTACATTCAGAATTTCTTTTATTACTGATATGGTTGTTGAGAAAACGATGAAACAAAAAATTATTGAACAAATCGGGTCGGTGATGGAATACTTGGGGTTGTACCAGATGATAAGCGAGGCTATCATTACTCCTATGTTTTGCAGTAAGTCGCTGATGGCGTGCAGGTACGCCGTCTTGAGGCTTATGCTGTTTTCTTCGTCGTGGCCGTGTGAGTGTCCATGTGAGTGTCCATGTGAGTGTCCATGTGAGTGACCGTGTGAGTGACTGTGTGAGTGACCGTGTGAGTGGTCGTGCGAGTGGTCATACTTTTGCACGTGGCCATGCTGGTGGCATCCATCCTGCGGGGAGTTTCCCCCCAAAGAATGACTATCGTACGAATCACACAAAACATTTTCTTCGCTTCCCTCATTGGAGATCATGTAGGAACTGTTCGAGCCCATGTTCTTGTCCTTGTGAGCTCCATTATGGGAATTTTTTTTTTTTTTTTTTTTTTTACCCATATCATTTGTTCCATTGCTTTTATTGACACATTCATTAATTCCTACTTTAAAAATACCATCGTCCTTTTGCACATCTTCATCATTTCCCATGTGATTATTGTGATGGTAATTATTATTTGTGGGGTCCATCAGTGCATGGTGTGAATTATGAAAATCCTTCTTACCTGCATTTGTTCCTTCCCCACCACCAGTAGCTCCTGCAGTCTTTGAATCTCCTTGATGGCGATTACCCATATTAATTTGGTTCACATTTTCATAATAATCAAAAGCAACGTAGCTGCATGAACTGGTGTTAATTTTTCCAATAGAAATATTATTCTTGTTAGATGCGGCAGCATGAGAAGCTGCATCATCATCATCTGCTATAACGATATCACTATTTATATTTTTGTATTTTCCATTTTTTCCAGAGTTATCAGCACCATTTCCCCATGCCTTTATCTGGTGTGAATGCTCATGTGTGTCATCACTGTGGCTGCATTTGCGTTGTCCAATAAATTCAAATCCATGTGAATGTACCTTAAGTACAAAGGCAATAAATATATTTGCCAGGGTACTTACAAAAGCTGTTACAAACATGATATATCCATCCACCGTCTGAACATCAAATAATCGAAACACAGCACTGTACAAAATGTATGCAGATAACGCCCATATAAAAAAAATGGAAAACAAGGCTCCTATTATTTCCGCTCTGTGGTACCCAAAAGACATATCCACATTTCCCTCAAATGTGGAAACATATATAGAAAATAAATTTAAGGCAAAGGACAATAAATCACAAAACAGATGGGAGGCATCAGTCATTAAGGACAAGGAATTCGACAAAATAGCGGCCACTATTTCTATTATCATAAATATTATACATATTATACTTGCTATGATTAATTTCTTCGTGGCCTTCTTTTGGGAACTATCATACAAGTGAGACATCCTGTCGATAAAATTCATGTTTACTCCATTTTCCAGCAAAGAGTTCTCCATTTTGGAAGGTTTTTCGTCGTTTTCGTGGGGAGGCACTTTTCTTCAATCTGCGGCGTGGTAGCAAAATGAAAGGAAAAATCTAAGGCAGATGGAAAGGGGAAAAAAAAAATAGCGCCAGTTCTTCCCAAACCGAGGCGTTCCCTCCAATGTTGTCATGGAAGAGTAGAGAACGGGCGGATTGCAAGCTGAGGCCCCCGTTTTGCTGCTGTGCTCCCAATCGGGTTGCTCAGGTGTAAGGTAGCACCTTGCACGTGAGGGTACGTGAAAAAAAAAAAAAAAAAAAAAAAAACACTGAACCTGGGCACTCACTAGGGAAGTGGCGTTATACGTGCATATATACACAAGTACACACGTTCATATATTCCTATACGTACACGTGCTCACATGTACACATACTAACTTGCGTGGTTGTATCACTCCTAGCTTCGCCCTATGACACTGCGAACTATATATGCGCAGACTCTATGCAAAAATACAAAAGAGGGGGCTTCTGCTAAATGTACTAAAAAACCGTGTGTTCAAAGTGTACTAGCGGGAAGGAGCACTTGATTATTCCAAATGCTGGGGGAGGAATACCCGCACAGGTTGTTTATAGGTCAAGCGGGAGTAGCGGAGAAAAAAAAAGAAAAGGAAGTGGTGGGGAGAGCAAAAGATCGTAAATGTGGTGGCCACGGGCTAGCCTGTTAGCGCGCGCAAGTGTGCCAAATGTGGGTGACACGCGTAAGTGTACTAAGATCTATGCTAAGAGAAAAGGTGGTAATCGTATGTACATATACACATATGTTCGTGCGAGTGATATGTATGCTTATATGCACAATGTTAAAAATAACCCAATTGTTTTCTCCTTTTTTTTTTTTTTTTTTTTTTTTTCTCTTTGGCACATTTTATTGAACACATGTATTTAGAGTGCGTAGAAAACAATACAAACTGAGTATATGCCCCTGTGATATGTATTTAACAAAAAAAGGGCAGCCAGGGACAATGCACCAAAAAAAAAAAAAAAAAAAAAATATGAGATAAGGTCAAGAGCAGATAAAAAGTGTAAGCCTGGTTCACACGTAATGTGTTCATGTTATTCCTTATCTCTTTTTTTTTTTTGTGATCTTAACACGTTTTACGCGCAACAGTTGCGAAGGCAGGAGCTTTCCCCGTTTTTTTTGCACACATGTATGGGCATACATGCGCGCGTAACATACGTGCCTACTTCCTTGCATACGTATATACATATTTATTCTTAGAGTATCAACCGTTTTTCTCTTTCATCCACTGATGAGCTACGCTGCGCATTCGTTCAAGCCCAATGAAGTCTCGCTTGTGTAGACTCAAAATGAAACGCGAATAATTCGCCTGACCCCTGCTTGATACTAACAAAGGATGCGTTTCCTCTGTGCCCGATTTTTTTGGGAAAAAATTAATTTTTTTAAGTTTTAAAGAGGGGGCGGTGTACAGGCGCGCAGGCGCAGGCGTAAGCACAAGTGTGTGTACAAACTTGTACGTGCACTCTCACGAAGGATTCTTTCCTCAATAAGAATAACTCTCACCAAAGACTCTTCCCCCCATTAGAGAAATTCGGACGAAGGATTACCCCCAATTATGCCAACCCGATTGAACCATGAAATTCCTAAAAGTTGAAAATTATTTCGGCAAGACCAAGCAAGATGAGGGGGAGAAGAACGTGGTGCTGATAACCGTAAATTTGCTCCTGCTGTTTTCCATGTTCCTGTATGGAATAAACTACATATTGATGAAATATTTTATTATGATAAAAGGGTCCATCTACGTGTTCATAATTTTGAGGACAGTCTTAACTATCCCACTGATGATTTACATGTATACATCGAAGGATTCAGAACCGAACAAAAAAAAACTACTGCATGATGTAAATGAAAAGGCTGGTGTGGATGAAGAGGATGCCCAGATAGACTTGGAGTTGTCAAAAATTGAAGAAGAAAATGAAAAAAAAAAAAAAAAAAATTCCAAAGGTGATAAAAATGATGATAATAATAAAAAAAAAAAAAAAAACGAGAAAAGCAGTAAGGATAGCAAAATGGACAATAACGTGCAAAAAGCAGATGCAAAAAATAACGATACTGGTAGTGACGAGTATAGCAGTAACAACCACGAAGCATGTGTTAATATGGAAAATACATATTCCAATTATTTTAGTAGATTACTAAAAAATGATGAAAAACTAATTCCTAAGGCAGCCTACATGCCCATACTTATCCTGTCCGTTACAGGAGCTTTGAGACAGGTAATTGTTATAATCGCCTTACAATATACCGATTCTCATAACGTAGCTATTATTCAACCGACAATACCGATTTTTACAGCCCTAATGTCATATTATTTGAAGATTGAAAAGATGAATTATATAACCTGGTTGTCCATTTTTTTGTCTTTCTTTGGGTTGGCCATAACTGCAGAAGTGTGGAATATGGGTTCACTCGATTTTGGCTTTCTCCTCCTATTAACAGTGCCCGTTACCAAGGGGCTGCAAGTGATATATATAAATATAGCCACTAGATACGTAAGTAATGATATTATTCAATTTTCCCAAATGGCTGTTTTGTTCTTGATAACCCTTCCATTTGGAATTCTTGGCGAAATGTTCATTAATGAAAATTACAATGTGATTAGCGAGATATATAATGTGACGACTAATCAGTTTTTGTGTATTTTCTATTCGACCTTTGGAATTATTTTTCTGTGTTGGAAAATTCAAATCATCGCTTTGAATTACCTTACTCCCGTAACCGTCTCACTGTATCAGTCCTTTCAGCCTTGCTTCACCTTCGTTTTGGCCAGGCTCTTTCTCAACGAGACCATCAATTATAATAAGTACATAGGAACCATCTTTATTGTCCTTTCGCTCATGCTTTATCAATACGGTTGCATGAAGCGCCCCAAGACGTAGAAGGTATATGTTGGCAAAAGGGGGGGGTGCCCCTACGAATACGAAAACACGCATATGCGCGTGAGCGCTGCGTGTGTAGTCCTTCCTCACCTTGTACATTTTATCTACATATGGATGTTCCTCTCTTTTTATTGATTTTATAACCCAAATGCAAATTGGCTTATTGCCATTTTTCTTTTTTTTTTTTTTTTTTCATCGCACTATTTTGTTTTCCAAATGTTTCATCGTACCCCTTTTTTTTTTTTTTTTTTTTTCTAAATAATCCTTTTAAATAAAATTTATTCCTTTTCAATCGAAATTGTTATTTTAGGTTACCCGCTAATTGCTAATATATTACGCTGCATATTGTTTCGGCTAGCAATTTAGCAGCCTTCTGTAAATCAAAGACGACTTAAAGAGGGTTGATAAAAACGGGCAACTGGGAATCGTTCCATTCCGGTTGGCTCGTTGTGCTTCGGTGAATCCTTTTCGCGCTACTGTGCCGTTTCTACACACCATTCTCTGTCGATGTCGCTCCATGACGCGCTCCTCATTAGGGGCAAGTGCTTGTCTAAGGCGCCCCTGCTTCCTCTTATCGGTGGAGAGATTTATTGGTAAAGTCCATTTTTACTTTCCCCTTGCAGAGAGCTGGGTTACTTCTCCAAGTTCCACCTCCATCGTACGTGTTTTTTCATCTTGTTAAATCTTGAGGGAGGTTGGCAGTGTAATTTTACTCTCCCCGCTAAATTAATTTCGCTCATTAGCTTCTCCACCATCATATTCATATCTTTGTAGCTTTTATTTTCAAACAAAGGAGAGCATAAGATTCCGTAAAAATGCATATCGTGGACATGGTGCCCCATTGTATAATCCTGTTTAATGTGAAAACATATTGGTTTCAATTTTTCGTATATCACTTTTTTAATATTGATCAAATTTGGACAATCTGGGGAGGCAAATTTATGTGCGTAATTTTTCTGTACCAAGAGAAAGCTACACTTTTTTGCAATCATGTTTGGTGAACTGCGCCTCCTTAAGGCTCGCCTACCTGCGCGTGCGCCGCGTAAACTCTGTCCCTTCGTAAGAACCACGTGGCGAAGTGGGTGAGTTACTTTTTCTGTCCTTCACGAGGGGCACAAATGGTGAGCGGCGGTACCAGCTTGCGTATGAGCATATCTCCCTACCTGTGTGTGTTTATACATATACACAAGCGTGTTAACCATGTTCCTCTTCGTAAAGGCGTCGCTCATATATGGCGTATCACAGCTGTTCCTTCGATGGCTTCAGAAGCATCTGTTTTTTTTTTTTTTTTTTTTTTTCATAAAATGGTTTCCTTAAATGTATAGTTTTAATATGTCGTCTGTTCGGCTAGCCCTTTTATCTATAACATGGATGCAAAGGGGGAGAAGCCGATGCGGGAGGGTTTACCTTTGTTCGGCTGCTTGCACGACCGCGTATTTCCCAAATGCTACTCGTTTGTAATTTGATGTTCCCCTTTTGCTCACCTCACGTTAGGCACTTTTACCAAGAACGGGTAGAGTCCATTCCGCTTCTCACATTCCCTTACATTGATAATTTTACAAAATGTTTTTTTTGCAACCTTTGCGTGTGTCGCGTTGTGTGCTTCATTTTTGCGCAACGTTTGCCACGCGCGGTGGGGGAAAACAAAAGAATAATAAATAAATAATTAATTACTCAATATGAGCGCCCCATTTTGCGGACAATTGTAAACAGCAGCTGTTCCCTTTTTATCTCCCTATATGTGCATGCAATATTGTAAGGGCTGTATAGTACCCGCAGCAGCTTTTTTACCCAAGTTGGCGAAGAAGCGTGTCAACTTTAACAGTGCTCAATGTGCAGGTACAGACATTTGCACCGCATGTGTCGGCAACCTGTAGAGTTATCCCTGTCGTAAATTTCGATTTAAAAAATGTTATAAAATACACAAATGATCCATCACATTTGAGTGAAGTGAAACATACAATAACGCGTTAAAAAAAAAAAGGCGGTTTGCGAAATTTAAAAAAAACAAAAAAAGAAATGTACGATGTAATATATATACAAAAAAAGGGAAACACACTTTGGAAAGCAAAACGGTTACATGACATCATAGCCAAATGGAAGTTGTGTCTTGTGTGCATAAAAAAAAAAACAGCCATGTGCAGAACAAATTTTTAAAAAATAAAACGGGGCCGCGTAATTTTATTTGGTTTCGAAGAGGGCATCTTCCAAAGATGAAAATGCGAAAGGTATTATTGTGGTCTCTCACTATGGAGCCGTTTTCAATGATAAGAAGAAAACTAACCCGCTGTAGCTGTATCTATTAGGTAGGCCTCAACTGGGCTCATCACACACACGTGTGTCTTTGCCGAATTATCCATTTTTGGCCTTCCTGTTTGCTGTTTTTCTCTGCTCCGTGTTTAATATTTTTTTGCGCATGACGATTCTCTTTGGAGTAACTTCTATTTCTTCGTCATCTTGAATAAAAGAAAGGGCATATTCAATGGTGATATTTTTGTGATTTATCCTTATGGTTTCCTCATGGCCCTTATTCCTTAGGTGTTGTACGGGCTTAACTTTCACAGCATTCATTTCAATATCATTGCTTAGGAAGTGCTCGCCGATGATCATGCCCTCATAAGTAGGGTAATTTTCACTAACAAATAAATTTCCCTTTAACTGAATGGGATCTAGAGAAAAGGCAGTGGTTGTTCCATTGGACGAGGATATGATTACCCCATTCCTGTCACTTTTGTACGACATTTGTTTTTTTTTATATTCCCTCAATTCGGAATTAATTATGGATGTCCCTTTGCTAACATCACGAAGGTAAGATCTCATACCAAAAAAATTCCTCGAGGGACAAATACATTTGATAAAAGTATTATCATTATCATCATTTACAATGTCTACAATATCTGCCTTCCTTGCGTTTAATTTTTCAATAACACTGGAGCTAATTGTAGAAGGTATAGTAATGTGAAATTCTTCAACTGGTTCTAGTAAGTTTCCTTTTTCATCTTTTGTATAAATAACATTTGGAGATGATATGGTCATTTCGTATCCTTCTCTTCTTAACTTTTCGATCAGAATACCTAATTGTAATTCTCCTCTTCCTTTCACCTCATAGCTATCTTTTTTTTCTGACTCGTTAATTTCTATAGCTACATTTATGGCTGCTTCTTTTTTAAGTCTGTTACCGATGGAAGACAGAGTTATATGTTTGCCATCTTTTCCTGTTAAGGGGCTTGTATTTTGTGAAATTTTTAAGCAGAGAACAGGAGGATCAATTGGTCTGGCCTTCAAACTTGATACGGATTCTTCAGACGACAAGGTATCATTAACTGATGGGGTAACTCCTTTCGAAAAGGAAATATTTACAATATCTCCTGCACTGGCGAAATTAGCATTTTCTATTTTTCGTCCTTTCATATAGAAGATATTTTTAATTACACACGTTCCTTTTACTTTATTTTCCTCACTCTTCACAATAATCGTGTCTCCTTTTTTGATAACCCCTCCGTATATTTTTCCAGTCACTGTGACACCTACTCCTTCTTGGTGGTCTATAAGGCTAACTAGCATGCTAAACGGCTCGCTCGTTATTTTCGCTTCCACGTCTTTACCCTCCACGCATGGGTGGCGGTTGGGCGAGTCCTCGACGAGACCTCCATCCGTCACAGTATCATTCCCCAACAATCCCCCAACCGAACGAGTTACACCATTTGCATCATCCCCTGTTAAACTTTTGTGAGACCCCACCTTTGCGTCATCATTTGTGGGGTCTCCACTACTGGAGGTTAATTTCAGAGGGGAGTCAAAATATTCAATAATTTTTTTAAATATAACTAGCACGTTATTATGTTCACACTTATTTTGTTTAGCGTCTTCGAAATTGTCCGTACACCACCCATTTTTCGCAGAGGCATAGAGAATGGGGTAATTCATTAATTCATCTGGAGCATTTAAATCAGCGAAAAGATCAAATATTTCATTTTCAATTTCTTCTTTACTTTTTATATTACTTGGTTTATCAAACTTATTCATAATAACAATAATTTTACACTTTGGGTTTAGGAGAGATTTCTTTAGTACAAATTTCGTTTGGTTCTTTGGTCCTTCAACTACGTCAATAATTAAGCATACCCCATCAATGAGATTTAGTACCCTTTCAACTTCACCGCCAAAATCTGAATGCCCAGGTGTGTCAACAATGTTAAAAAAATAATCATCATATTTTATTCTTGTTACTTTTGACATGATAGTAATTCCTCTTTCCTTTTCTAAATCATTATGATCCATTACTCTTTCATTTTTTGTTTCTTCTCCTCCTTGTCTTAGCAGCTTATCCACTAGGGTTGTTTTCCCATGATCTACATGTGCAATGATGGCTACATTTCTTATTTTTTGCGGGTTGATAATTTTAATTTTTTTATTCGTTGAAAAAAAGAGAGCATTGCCATTACGGCTTAGTATTGAAGTGTGTCTCTTTTCGGGGATACTTTTTTGGTGAAATTTATTTTTTGCCTTATTTAGAGTATTCCTATTATCGTAAAATGACATTGTGGAAAAGTATTTCCCCATTTTCCTACCCCCATCCATTCCGTCAAAGAGGGGGCTGTTCCTCTGCACATTTTTTATCCCCTTTATACTCGCTCCGATGCAGTGCGCCACCACCCTCTGAGCAGCACACCTGTTGTGGTTTTTCAACAGGTTATTCATATTGTGCTTTTTCTTTTTAATTTGGCATCGATGATCACTTCAGCTTATCACTACGCTGGACGCATTCTGTTCGTTCACGCGTGTGATATCGTGGGCACACGTATAACAACCTTAGTGAAGCGGCTTAGGAAAGGTTTAAATTTGCCTACACGCAGTGCCCATATCAAACAGTTCGCCCAGTTCGGACGCCTCTTTAACCCTATCGACAGTAATTCACCCGATGAGGGAACTTACGAATCGCGTTGATGTGCGGGCATTCAACCTGTATGTACTTGTTTGCTGGGATTGTTACCTTGGCACATCCATCTGAAGCTAGTTACATCTCTCGGAAGAGCTAGCCCTTTGCCCTGACCTAACAATGAAGGAGTTCGCTTTTTGTGGGCAACTCATATCTTGACCAAGCTGATCAATGTAACTGTGCTATTGTGTATACTTAAATGGGAAGTCGCCGCTGTCGTGGGACAATCTACATGATGTAACGCTTCTAGGTGTAATGTTAAGGCATTAACAGTAGCGTTAGCGAAAACGCTAATTTTTTTTTTTTTTTTTTGGTGCATAGGTGTTCCTTTTCAACCCGGAGAGGCTTTCACGGATACCCATGATCAATTTTTTTTTTTTTTTTTTAAGGGTAACATTTTTATACATGTAAGCATGAAAATGTCGAGCAAGCATGGCACTTTTTCGCTAACACGCAAGCTACAATTCATAATTTGAGTAACTTACCATTATGATGTTTTGCTACATTCTGGTTAAATAAATGTACACCCTCTCGTTCACATCACCTGGGGAGCACCGCTGTTGTACATATAAAAAAAACAGCTACCCGGCAAGGTGAACAAGCTTAAAAATATTCTTACCTACGTACATACGTTTGTACATAGGAAAACATAAAACGGGTGTACCTCGTGGGTACTACTATATTATCTTATCTAGAGATGTGGAAAGCGGCGAATGTTTCTTACACAAGATACGCCTCTGAAATGGCGGACATTTTGAGGAAGTACGTGGAAGAAAAAAAAAAAACATGCAGCCAAGGAAATATACATTTGCTTCATGCCACCTATAGTGTGATGCATGTCACACTTCTTTTTACATGAGTTAAATGCGCCAAACATAATAAACATGTAGAGCAACCCCCTGCGCACATACTACAACATGTGCAGACATATGTGCGCGCACATTACCCATTTCCTTTTTGTTTCTTTACACCACCCTGTGCCCCCCTAAGGTGTTTGAAAGACCCATACTCTGACATAGCCTTGGAAAGGAGTAAGATGCATCTACGGGAAACAATATACAAGGATGGAAAACCAATCAGTCAAGGTAAAATGAATTGATACAATTTTGTGCCATCAAAATGAGTGCAATAAGAATTTGCTCCTATTTTTAGTTAACCATTGGGGGAAAATTCCATTTCCATATTCCCCATTTTTAATGCGAATCCGCTGTTGAGCCACTGAAACTACAGTGTGTATGTTACGCCCATTTGCTTTTATGTACATGCGGATAGATGCCTTTACACACGAATTATGTCTTTCCTTCCTTTGGAACAGAGCTACATGAAGAATTTCAGAAGGCCTTCAAAAGCTTGGGAAATAGTAAGGAATGAAAGGAAGGGAAAGGATAACAAAGCGGAACAAATAGTATGCACGTCCTGGACGCAGAAGACAAAAATGGGAGAATGCTCCTAAAAATTGTTAACGTATCTTTTAAACAAAAAAAAAGTAATTTTTGTTCTACTTAATTTGTATACATAGTCTGGAAGTGTCCTCTAAGACGTTCGCAATATTTTCATGATATACCATAAAAAAAAAAAAAAAAAAAAAAATTTACCAAAATTGTGAAGCAAGGATTTTTTTACAGAAAAATGGTTAAGATAATAACCAAGTTTGGTGCACCGCAGGAGAAAATCTAAATATTGTAGAACACCAACTTTTGCTTCTTCATAAGAACAATACATTTCGTAATTGCAAAATTGTTCTTTTTTTTTTTGATTAATTCTTGCCAATTTATGTGGCAGGCACGTTGATTGTTCCACAAAAGGGAATACTTTTTATTGTGCATGGAAATTTGCTTAGATATACTTGTTTTTTTTTTTTCCGTTGTATGTACACAACTTTTAAGAGGCGTTTAATTATTGCGTGGTGAAAGAAAAAGGCAAAAGGGGGAAATGGCCAAATGGGAAAATAGGACAATAGAAGCCCAACTGTGAATGTCACAAACAGCTGCCACACGTTGACATCTAATGAACACCCAGTGGGCAAAATATTTTTAAAGAATAATCCACTAGCTCGACTTGTTCTTTCTCGTTGGCTATTTTAAGAAAAACTGAAAGGTGACTCAATGTACTCCCACTGCGTAAGCACACACACAAAGCGGCATTAAAAAAGCACAGGCACGTAAATTTTGTGACACAAAAGCTAAAATATTGGCTTAACATGCCCCATTCGTGTTCCTTGTCTAAAATGTATAAACGAACCCTATTTGTGCTAAGCTTCGCACTTTTGAACTTCATCAGTGCGGAGAGTAAAAATGTAGTTTCTTCCTTTTTGTCCTACTTGAGCTCAAAAATTAATTCGACCAGCGAAATATCAAAAGTGATCCAAATGGGCGACACTATGGCGTGTGTAGTTAGTAAAGAAAATAATAACACGCATAATGAATGCTCTTGTTCGTTTACAAAGCTGAAAGAATTTGAAAAAAAATGTTCTTCCAATTTTAAAAAAAATCAAGAAGACGCTAAAAACTGCTCTGAAGAACCTTGTGAAATTTGTTGTAGTTTAATGAATTCAAACCGTGCAGCAAATTCTATCCTGGACTATGAATTTTTTTGTAAAAAAAAATGTGCACGATCGAGCATTGTTTCAAATTTGAATCAAGATGATTACAAAATAGTTTTTAAAAAGTTAATTGAATTTATTCGTATTTTTTATCCGTCCAATGTGCTTAATTATTATCCCATTCGGAAAAAGGCCTCCGCGAATTATACGAATAAGCCACTGAACGCAAGTATGTCATACTGGGAAATGATTTTGTTAAAATCGACATCTTTTGCAAAGCGGCAATTTGGACAAATGAAAAAAATTGTCTCCATTTGTAGCTCTCTATGCGTTATACTTTCTCAATTTTTCCTTTTTTTTTTTTTTTTCCTTCCCTCGTTTTGTCGCAGAAAATCGTACGATAATGGACGACCTAGGTGAAGAGCCCAGCGCGGTAAGCACATAAATATGAGCGTCTGCATACAACCAGAGCAACATGTTTCTGTACAAGGCAGATAAGAATGCGAAAGTGGAAATATGTCTACTTTCGCGCTGTTCTTACGCATAGCATTTTCTGTTGGGAAGACGTGAATACAACTGCGTATGTCCATGCACACATCCGCGTGGTAGAGTTACCTCGTGGGGTTGCTCTTTTAAACCATTTTATAACCTTATATATATATCAAAACTGTTTTTTAAACATTTTTTTTTTTTTTTGGGGGGGGGGTCTCTTTAGATAAATCGCGGAGATGTAGAACATCATACAACGTCGCTCACAGCAGAAGAGTCGGAAGATCTTTTTTCTCCCTATGATGAAAGCTAGTTTTTGTTCTTTTTTTTCCTTCTTATTTGCACCCCCCCTTTGGCAATTTCTTCCCCTAGTTTGTTATATTTGCATTGTGTCCCTGAGAATTATTTAAGCTCAACTACTTTCATGTTGTCATTTTTTTCTTTTGTGTCACTTCTCTGGTTAGGCTTTTTTTTTTTTTTTTTCCATTGTTTCCACATTTTCCAAGTTGTATTTATGCCCGGAATGGGATTTAAAGGAAAATGCTTTCTGGTGAAAACGATTTTAGAACCCAAAGTATGGTGTATAGCAAATAAATCAGTGTAGAATTTTTGGTGTCATTACCATTTGTGCACTTGCCCCTTTTATTCTTTACGTGTGCAATTTTGCAGAAATAAAATAAATAATTTTTAAGGGGGGTAAGGGTCACGAATGGGGACAAAATTGAAGTCAAAGGTTTCCTTTTAGCATGTTTTTTGGGATTTTTTTCTGTTTCCATATATTTCATGTTAGATAACGTTTCCTCCCTTGTGAAATAACACTTTGGCATGTTCGGTTAAGCTCCGTTGTTTTTTTTTTTTTTTTCTTCCATTTTGTGGTGTATACAATAGTGCCCATTTTGATTGTGTGTAATGTATACGCTAGTTGAAATTGGGAACACAAAAAGGCACATAAATAAGCTATTTTTTTTTTTTTTTTTGTTAACCGCCTGAGACGAAGTAACGGTAGAGCAGTCGTACCACAGGCGTGGTTTGATGAGGTGCACAAAACATGTTTTCGTGACAACAACATTGTAAGGATATGTTCCTAGGCACTAAAACTGTCTCCGCTTATTGTGTATATATTTTTCCATACCCCACAGCATACACCAAGAGGTGAAACATCTGTGCACATATTTTTCATAAAAGAAAAATTATGCCCATTTGTCCGTGAAAATTTATATTCACTGGAGCACATGGTTCTGTGTGTGTGAAATTTGGGTATAAATGTGCCACCTTTGTTGTTATAGTTTGATTACTTTATTTGATTGTCCCGTTTAGCTTGCCTAGTTTTTCTTCTCTTGTGCACTGCGGTTGCCCATTTTTTTTTTTTTATTTTTTTTGTATAACCATTGGCACACACCATTTGTAGAGCATGCCTGTGAAAAGAACGCCATTCTCATTCATTTCTGATATAAGTACGAACATAAAAAATGGAAATAACAAGAGCGATGTGACGGCTGTGAACAGGCAAAACTCGTTCGAACATATAAAGGACTTTAAAATAATCGAGTTGGGGAACTTTAAAATAATTAAGGTCTTACTGAGGGGACTTTCCAGCACCGTGTGTTTGTGTGAATGGATAATTGAGTGCAAAAAGAAGCTTGTTTTGAAAAATTATGTTAAGTATATAAATAATGACATTTTAAGTTCGAACATATACATTGATGAATCAAATGAGACAGACACGGAAAATAGCAGCTCGGAGACGGACAGAACGATCAGCATAGGCCCGTGTTCCGAAAGGGCATATAAGGAAAGGGCATTGTATGAGCAGGCGTACATGGAAAAAGAAGAACAACATGGGAAGGAACAGTTATGGCAGTACGACAATCATGCTATAGACAAGGGAAAAGAAGCGAACGAACATAAAACCCTGCATTTAGTTTTAAAAGTAAAACACAAAGAATTGTACTACAACCTCAGAGACATAGAAGAATTAAGAGAAGAAATAGAAATACACAAAAAATTGAAGCATTGTAACATTTTACAAATGATATTAAGTGCAGAACATGAAAACGACATTTGGGTGCTTTTGGAATATTCTTCCATAGGAGATTTATACTCCTATGTAGGTTTTAAAATATTAGACGAAACGGAAGTGAAAATAATTGTCAGTCAAATTTTGTTTGCTCTTTATTATCTTCACATTAATGGAATCATACATTGCGATATAAAGCCAAATAATTTACTTCTCTTCAATTTGGAAGAGTCTTTCCTTTTTGAGTCGGATGTCCTATCAGATCTGGAATTGTCACATAACAATGTCAAGGGGAAAAAATTGAATATTAAGAAATTGCTCAGCTCGATTAAGGAAAATATCGCCAAGCATCCGAATGAAAAGACGTTTAAGAGTATTGTAAAAATTGGCGACTTTGGATTGTCCGTCAGATGTGCCTTTGATGAGTTCTACCCCTATCGCGGGATTCGGGGCAGCTACGGGTTCATCGCCCCTGAGTTGTTCCAAGTTAGAGCAGACACAAGAGCACTGCGAATGTGGGGGCGCGCACTGAACTTTTAAATTTTTTGTACAATGAATATTTACCTGTCCGACTTGCCCCCCATAAGAGGTTACCTCCACACATACAGCGTCACTTGCACATCGCTTTTCCCCCCCTCGCAGGAGTCCAACTTTAACAACAAAATTGACATGTGGGCACTGGGCATAATCACCTACATCCTTTTAGGAGGTTATAGACCCTTTTACCCCTGTTCTAGGTTTGAGGTAGGGTGTAAAAAAAAAAAAAAAAAAAAAAAAAAGGGGGATTATACAAGACGGGTTACTCTTTTTTGCCTAAAATGTTGTAATGCATGATTAGCTCCTCGTCCATGCGGGGTTAGAAATGGCTACCTGCAGCCAGTATTAAATTCTTCGCAACAATTTCCGTCTTGATATCATCCGAGTCAAACTGAAAAACACGTATGACTAAATTTTGCATTTTGCGTTCAAACCATAGACGGTTGAGCACACGAAATCCACATTGCATACATGTCAACACGTTTCCATTTTTTTTACAGGAAGAGGTAACGTTCCACGAACGATACTGGTTTAATATATCCTCAGAGGCAAAGAACTTTATTCAGTCCCTCCTGCAGATTAACCCGTCGAAACGGCTGAATGTGATTGAGGCGATGGAGCATCCCTGGTAACGCAGCGCATGTTGCCTTAGCCCATTTGTGCATTTGTGTGTACCTAAGCAAGAACATGTAGAGGGTGCGCACACGGAGCTGCATACCTATGTCGACGCACACGGGCCACATGTCTCTGCACCCCCATTTTTCGCAGGATAAACAGCTACTTTATCAGCACGTGAACACGAACTAGAAGATGGCTCGATGACACACACGCCTTTTTTTTGTTGCCACACGAATCGCCAACACTTGTTGTACGTATGGAACAAACGTGAAAAGTAAAGTGCCCTGTGTGGACGCAGCAGACAGGGAAGTGTTGACGTGTACGCAGATGATTAAATGTACATGTAGATAATTCATGATTTTTTAATTTTTTTTTTTCCGCATTTTTTTTCCAACTCGTCACTTTTTAAATATAGCAATATAACATTTGTGTAACGTGCAAAAATGTAGCATCAAGGGGAGGTATTCGGTATGAATGGCGGATGTCTCACTCGAACAGGCGCAGCCAATTGTCCAATGCGGTTGCGGTTAAGTCACGCTCTCCCCTAGGGCTTGTCCTCAAGATTGTTCTTTTGTGGGCATTCCTTTGTGACTGTTGTGTGCACCCCTTTTGTGCTTTCTTTATTTTTTCCCCCCTGAACATCCTTAAATGGAGGAGGGGACAAGCACAACCTGAATGAGGCGCGCACATATGTAATTATGAATATGTACACCCCTTCCTCATAACCTATATTTAACACGCGTGTGGCGACTTACCTATTTTCCTGCATTGGTACAAGAGGGGTCACATTAATGTACACTTCCCATGGAGCGGCTCTCACATGTGGGGCAAGACATTTAACTGGAAAATCTCTCGTGAAGAAATTTCCACTTGAAAAATATAACACGTGAAAAAAATACCAGGTAAAAGGTTATGCAGTGTTCTACATTGCAAGGGGGAAAAATTAAAACGTTTTTTTTTTTTTTTTTTTTTTTTTTTTTGTAGCAATATTAGTGCCCCTCATAAGCGCAAAATGGTGATGGTCTACGGAACAAAAAACATAACACCGGAAATCGCGCAAAATGAAAACGCACAAATGTGATGGAAATTTTTAAAATTATTCTCAACAGTTATATTATATTTGTGTTGTATTGTTAGTCACATTTGTGTTGTATTTTTTTTCGTCCTAATACTTAATTTGAAATATTTTTTTTTTTCCGCACATTACGAATTGTTTGGAATCATAAGTTCCGTTGTAGACGGGTGATTGTTCCCACCTCCGTATTTAAGGCATAACTTTTTAATACTGAATAATTTTTGTATCAAAAAATTTTATTTAAAATGTTTTCATGTGCCTCGAGAAACGTGAGGCCTATATTTTTTTTTCGGGGCATGAAATTGTAAGAGTGGCACAAGCATACGCAGGTGTGTTTTGCTACTTGTTAATTTTTTGTCTTGGGCACTCTTCCAACTGTTTTTTTTGTATCAGATAATCCGTTTCCCCATTTAGCAGCATTTGAACGTGTGGGCCCATCATATTGCCATAATCCCCACCCCGCCGTTCTCCCTCCCATCGTTTAAAAAATGTCTCACAACAACACGACCGTGTTCTTGTTCACGGTGCAAGGCATATTAGCGTCACTGACGTGTGGATTGTGCTGCTTAATATATGCATACTGCTGTAACAATAAAAATGAACGAAATAGGAATAAAAGAACAATATCGAAGGTACACGGAGACACCTACGTTGAGAGCGCAACAACTGTCTTCAAAAAAAGTAAGGTCGAGAAAGAGGCGGGAAGTAAAAGTGTCCATGAAGATGCGGCGACTCACATAGAGCAGGGAGTAGAGGATGGGGCAAGAAATACAAAAGCAGAGAGGACTCATCTAAGATGTGGTAATGGCAGCGGAATGAGCCACAATGATAATTATTGCAAGCGAAATGGAAGTGCAAAAGGCGATAGGACAGGTACCATCCCAAGGCAGAAGTCGATCCAAGAGAATTATTGCCACAGAAGAGAGAGTAAGATGGAATTGGGTGTATCCAATGAGAAAAACGGTGAAATGGATAAAGGCAATGGTGAAGAAGAAAGATCATGTAGAAACAACTGTGAAGGAGTACCCCTAAACATGAGAAATGCAAACCAATATAAGGACCTCCCTGTGGTAGGTATAATCCCTAGGAATAATTCTGTACCTTACGATGGCCGTATAATAGAAAAAAATGAAAAGTGTGAAAATTTCCATAATGCCGAAGCAGGAGGAAGTGACAGACACCCCAATTGGAGCAATGAACGTAAAGAGATTTTCAAGAGTGACTCAAACAATATGATAAACATGGTTGTGCCCCCAAACAGAGGCCAGATAACAAGAGGAGAAGAACAGAAGCAGCAGCTGCCAATATCCAATCAGTGTAGGAACAACTTTAATCCACACTGTATAGATTCGCACATATCGTCTAATGGTTATGGGGAAGAGGATAACAAAAGAATTTTGAAAATAATGCAAGCGGGGGAAAAAAATATGCTAAGTAGCAAGAACAATATGAGTATTACTGTCAATAGGGTTGAAGCAAAAAATAATGCCATATGTGGCCTTAGAGAGGAAGACGCCGTTCAGGTGGCCGCAGAAAGGGAAGACCAGCATGCCTATAGTAGGAGTGTTTTAGACAGACAAATGGTGTACTACCCCAACGATGATGTTTTCAGAGTCAAGTCGGAGACGTTGATTCGGAGCTATCCGGTCCACAGTGGAGCCAGCGGAAGTGCGCACAAGGGCATGAATAAATATTGCCCCGACACGTGCTCAACCAGGAGAAGAAATTGCCCCGAACCACACAACCATTTTACACAGCGCAAAATGAACGGTTGTGAAGTTTTTGAAGACGAAGAAGAAAAAAGCAAATGCAGGCACTACGAACATGTGAACAATTATACTCCCTCGAAATGTATAAACTGTCCTCATAACGAAGAAAGCACGAATAGGTCATTTGTAAAATGTGAAAAAAATGTTGTGCACAATTGGGATAAGAATGTACCCAATGGTAGGGAACAGCCAAGTGTAGAAGGGAACAGGCGCGTAGTCCCAGTGATCCACAAGGACAAAACATATTCAGCTTCATCAGAATATAACAAGTACAAGTACAACGATGTTTCTATGAATGATACTCTTTATAGGAGTAGGGAACCATTTCATGATATGTCACACTTCAATAATGAGAAGGAAATTAAAAGTATTATTGAAAATTGTAGAGTAGAAGAACCAGGTACTCTGTCATACGATAACGACAAGGCGACTTACGACAAGCATATTCTTAGCAACAATAATGGAGAAACTTCCCGTAGGGTTCGCAATGTGGGGCATTATGATGCAGGGAAGGGGTTCAACCCCCGGAATCCTCACTTGTCAAATCATATGTCCACAAATTTGATATGTGGAGACAGGACAAAAAGTGTAGCCTCATATGGATTAGCTTATAACCAAGGCGAAAATGTTAGTGCATGTGAAGGTGAAGAGACGCCCCCCAAACGAAGTTCCCCCCGTTTGGGTCGCTTCATAAGTGCGCAAAATTTTGCATGCAAACGGAGAACGAAAGACCGGGAGGGGAAAATGTCACAGGGCAATAGGAACAACGACAACGGTAACAATGATAGCAGTAATGACATCCATGGCAAACGCAGTAGCAATCACAACAACGGTGGAGAGGACCACACAAAGGAAACAATGTATTACACCAGGGGGCAGAGCATGAAGAGCAGCATGATCGATGCAGTTGAAATGGCCACGAAGGTACCCACAAACAGTTGCACGCACACCAACAAAACGAAAAGCGATGCTAACAATTGTGCACATTGTTCCCCCTTAGATGAAGAAAAATTGGAAAATCCAAAAAAAAAATATTACTACCAACTCCCACGCGATCATCACCTGGGCATCACAGAATGTCTACCATGTAAAGAAGGAACACATATGTGTAAAAATAATAACTGCCCTTCTGATAGCAATTATACAAAACAGAGAAATGATAAAGAAAATAATGTATACTTAAAAAAGAGTTTACCAGATGAGCATGTCTGCTCCGCTAACAAATGCAACAGCAACAGTTGGTTCCCGCATTGCACAGAAAAGATAAGTGGCAAGAATGAATCCTTTTTCCACCCAATTAAGTTTGAGAAGAACACTAAGATGCGTGATATTAGTGAGAGCTTCTCACAGCACACTTCGTACAAGGCGCGTCCATTCATTATGAGCAAGGGGCTTCAACAGGGGGGGCCGAAAATGGTAACCAAGTGTGAATTCAGCGATGATATTTACCCCTTAACAGATGACAACGCTGATTACGATGGAGTGGAGAGCAGTTGCAGGGGTGGCCGCAGAAGTGGCAATGCAAGCGGCGTTCGAAGCGGAAATGTAAGCAGCCTCCTCAGCGGCAGCATTAATTTGGGCGAACGATGCGGCAATGACAAACAAAAGGCGCGCCTCAACCGAAGGGAAGAAACGGCGATCCCTATCCCCCTGAGCAACGATGAACTAGCCAGTGGCAGAAGACGCAGAAAAAAAGGTACCAAAAGGAGAGGAAACAACTCCAAAGAAGAAATGGATAATCAGTCTAACACACCACAATTGACAAATGTGAACGAAGGGAAATTAAGACAAAAGGAACCAAGTGAGTACAAGAGCAGCCAAGATATTAACCAAATAATACATGCCTATTTGCAAAACTCGAAGAAGGAATATAATTATAGCAGGTCAGATAAATCGGATAGAGAAATGAATCACGTGACAGATAAGTACAACCACGAGGGGATGCATTCTCATGGGTATGTGAGCCAAATCAGAAAGAGCAAAAAAAAGGATTCAAATGATAACATGCGTTATGACTCCTGTCGCACAAGAGTGGTTGGAAATAAAAAAGGACAAAACGGAAGGGATAACGGTGTGGGTCTCGCGCAAGGGGAAATAACGAACAGTAAGAGTTCCTCTAGAGCAAGGAATACACACGAGAAGAGCGCACAGAACGAACAGACCCACCAAGAGGAAAAACCAACGGAGGAAGACGCCGCGACAAGTAGAGATCGAATGGAAAATGGAAACATACAAGTGAAACGCGAAAAAAGTGACAGAAAGGTTCTTATTAAGAAGGAAAAAGACGTTCGCAGTGGGAACCAAACGGTAAGGAGAAGCGCCAGAATGAAGAGCGAACAATATAAAAAAAAAAAAAAAAGCATTGACAGTGATATGCATGTAGATACCCAAAATGTGCAGGAAGAGCTACAAAGGGAGAGTAGTAAGAACAAGCAAAACAGTGTAAGTGACAATAACAAAGTGATGGAGAAAAAAAACAAAAAAATGTCCAAAACGAAGACCATGGAGTTAAAAATATTCAGAGATAAAAACATATTAAAGGAAAAAGAAAATTTAAAAAGGACGAATGAAAAATATAAAGAGATTGATGAGTACAGATGTGCTTCAGGATTAGTAAACTTCATAATTGAACATATACAAAAAAAAAAAGACAAGGAAAACTTTGATGATTTATTAAAATATATTTTAAAATTAATAAATATTTACAAAATTAAAACGATTGATTTTGTGGAAGCCTTTTTACTACTCGAAACGATCAATGTTAACATAATCACGGAATACCCAATTGAGGAGTGGATCTTGGTGACCTTTCATTTCCTTAAAGGAAATACAATAGAACAAAATTTTAATTTAATTATTAAATCGCTAAAGTTAAATAGTGTAGTCATTGGAAATGTCACAGCTTCGTTCTATATGAACAAAAAGACGATCAGAATGACAGAGAAAAATATGAACAGAATTCTTACCATTTTGTCAAATGTTGTGAGGAGAAGATCCTCCAGGATTAAAACGTTTAACCGACCGAACCAGGACAAAAGGGCCAAGGAGGATCAACAGAAGGATGAGCTTTTAGGCTCTTGCTGGCAGCCAGTGGAGGGGGGCGCGCAGGGAAAGTAGGACCAAAAAGTCAAGCGTACAGGAATGTACTACGTTTTTGCCAAATCGCTCAAGTAGGACAAATCAAAAAATGGGAGAATATAAAAACGGAGGTGCCAATCAAGCATTGTTAACACCGCAAACTATTTGTAGCCCCTTCGCATTGCATTTCCTATGACGTAGATAAAGTGCCCATAATGCGTCTCCTCAGAGGAGACATACATATACTTTTTCTTTAATAGTACTGGGGAGACAAAAGGAAGAAATGTTTAGCGAGACATGGCCACAGTTTCCACAAAATGAATGCTATAACTAGATAAGCATAGCAATGACTAAAGATATGACTTGTATTGAGGATTAAAAAGGCATAACATTGACTGTATATGTCGCCTTTTTATTTTCTCCTCCCCACTGGCAATAAGTAATCACCGTAATGTATGCAAATTGCAGGATTTTCTTAAAGAGTGAACAAATTTATTCACAGCAGTTACGTAGTAGATGATGCACGCTTAAAATGTTTCCTTTGTAATTTTGTTCCCATTTTGTTACCTATATTTTGTACCCATTTGTTTCCATATTGTACCATATGTACATTCTACAATTTTATACCCTTTGAAAGAAAGAAAAAAAAACTTGTCTAAAATGTTTTTTTTTTTTTTTTTTTTTTTGTTTGCCTGTAATTATTTAACCCTGTCTAAAAATTAAGCGCATTTTCTAGCATCGATTCAAAAAGAAAAAAAGAGGCATCGAAATTTTTAATTCTTTGAAATGCGGTTAATGCAAAACGTATAACTCTACTTTTTTCATTTTTTTTCTTTTTCTAACCCTATTACAATTTTGTAAATAAGAAAAGGGCATTCCTACCGACCATAATCTCAAAGCAGTGCAAACATGAGTGAGCAAGAAAAAGAATTTATCTCGTACTTGGAGGAGCATGGCGTAATAGATCACTTAAGCCGCGCCCTCCTGGAACTATTCGAAGAGAAGGAAAAGCCAAAGGACGCAATAAAATTTATATCCGACCATTTGCAGGACGTGGACGCGGGTATGGTCATGCGCATGAATAGCTGCACAGCTGTCTACGTATATATGAACACCTTACTTTTTCCCATTCGCTTAAATGGGCACGATCCATCCGTGGCACCGATGGAGGCAGCACCAATTTACTCATGTGTGCTGCTCATTGCGCATTGGAGACATGCCACGTCAACCACCCACCTCGCGCAGACGTGCCGCTGGAAGACCTGAAGAGGGAGAATTTATTCCTCCGACAGGAAAATCAAAGACTAACCAAGAAGTTCGAAGAACTAAATGATACCTTAAATAAATTGCTTAGCAGCGACCGGGGAGGTGCTAAAATCAAGGATTTGAATGGATGCTTGGAAGGAGGGGAAGTAACGGCGAAATAGAAGGGACAAACATAAAGGAGAAGGACAGACGGGCAGGAAGGGAAGACAAGGGAGAATCGCCACACCCCAGGAGTAATCACAATTTCGTTGTGCTGGTCCCTTGTCAATACGTAAAACAGTGGAGGAATCTATCGAAAGGCTTTTCCCATTCCATTCATGCAAACTGGGCCAGGTACTAACGCGTCGTGCATCTAACCGAGGTGTATAAATATTCATGGGGAGTAACTCACCAGGAACACTGTGCATATGTGCCCCTGGTGTGTGTACAAACCATCATTAAAACATTTTCCAAAAAAAAAAAAAAAAAAAAAAAAATGGGGGAAATTTTTGTATTGTAACGAAAAAAGGGGCCATCGAATGGCACATCAAAATTATGTCGAGGGTGCACATATACTAAAAAATGGTACACAGACATTCTGCGCGAAAATGGTCACACAATTAACTTATAAAAAATCGGCGATTGATTTTATAAAAAAGTCAGGGTGAATATTTAAATGGTTATGGTTTAGATAAATATTTGCATCGGTAACGCCTGTGGAAACTAGAACTGACTTGATGTTGCAATTTTTGGCGAAGGCTATGTCCGTGTCGAGTCTATCTCCTACCATGACAACTTTGGCAGGATCAACATTTAGATCTTTGAGGACATTTTCGATCATGAATAAATTTGGCTTGCCAAGAACGATTGGCTTCTTGAGCGAAACAGCTTCAACACTAGCAACGATAGAACCTGTCCCAGCCCATTTTTGTTTGCAAGTAAAGTTAGCAGTGGCGTCTGTATTCGAAACAATAAACTCAGCGTCCAATTCATTGATGCAAAGATGTGCGTACTGGATTTTGTAATAATTAATGTTAAAGTCGATGGCAACTACCACAGCTCCAATATTTTTATCAACAGTTATTTCTAGATCATCCTTTATTACCACTTTCTTGTCATTATCGTTGTAGCTCCCCAACCAAAGAAGATTACAAAAATCGAGTTCCTCACAAATGCCTTTTTCTCCAATAACATAAATTTTTTTTTTTCCACTTCTGTATTCTTCCTTGTCCACAAAATATTTAGCAATTGCATAGGAAGTACAAATAATATTTTCTTTTTTAATAAGTTCGAAACCTAATTTGTGAAATTTCTCCAACAGTGTTACCCTCGACTTTGTAGAATTATTTGTTATAAAATAAACTTGCTTGTTTGCTTTTATTAATTTGTTTATAACTTCCACTGCTCCCTCTATCACTTCATTTCCTCTCCATAGAACTCCATCGCAATCGAAAAAGAACACTTGGAAATTGTCCACAAAATGGTTCGCGTCCACCGACTGTTCTATTTGCCACTCCTTCATGAAACCTTTGCATTCGCTTTGTGCTTTCTCCGGGCGTATCAGAGACATGTTTGGTTCGTGTGTGTTTGCCTGTTTGCCTGTTTGCGCGTTTGCTTGTTTGTGCATTTATGGATGAATCAATCATGTGATTTTTTTTTTTTTTTTGCGTTTTCACTTTATCATTCTATTACTGTTTCATTTCATTACTCTTTACTCTTTTGCTGTTGATTTTACATTTCTTTTTTCTCTGTCATTTTTTTTTTTTTTTTAAATTTTATGTTTAATGGACATGTGGCACTTTTAAGGGATATCTATTTAAGCATACAATTAAGCGTAATTTTTTTTTTTTTTTTATGAAAAGAATAGCATTTCGCAAAGGTGTCACTTAATGGTTATAAAAATATGTTAAGCACTTAAAAATGGGTCATATATGCAACGATGAATAATATGTAAAACGACACTTCACGCCCATAAATAATAAAGTATGGTTAGTGTATTATTTATGGTTTGTGTTGCCAATTCTAATATATATGATAACGTGCCCGAGTGGTTAAGGGGTGGGACTGCTAATCCCATGGGTTCTGCCCGCGCAGGTTCGATTCCTGCCGTTGTCGAATTTTTTTTTTTTTTTAAACAAAAAAAAAGAATATTTTAAATATCACATATAATAATTAAATTTTTCTTAATTACAATTTGAGAAAAAGAACAAATAGGTAAGAAGCATATATTTGCATTTTCCATTATGTTATGTTCGTAATTGTTTTTGCTTGAATTTATAATACTGCCCCAGTCGCATACACAAAAATATGGGCCTTTTAAATATGCAGAGCAAAAGAAGCATTACCTTAAGACCTATTTAAAATTGAAGCTGAATTCATTTACCTACCTTCCCTTTTTGCTGAGCAGCAACTATTTAGCAGAACCATAACCGACATATATCCTCAGTGGGAAAAGACATAATTTGTTCGAAAGGTGAAAACTGTTTTTTTATGAATGCCCATTTGCTTGTCATTTTTAAAAGGGGGAAAACGCAGTTGAGGAGTTGCATTTTCGCATCTTCCTTAACGTGTGGCGCATATATCATTTATGTAAAATGTGCCTGCTGAGAAATCTGGTTTAGCTCTATTAGCATGCCTACCTTACCCCTAGCCAAAGGAAGAGCGGACGGCCGGGCTTACCTTACGTACGCCTATTCTCTTGCACGTGTACCCATACAACAAGGTGTGTTTAGACGTATATGCAATAAAGGAGCTCCCGGAGCATTTGTCCTCCGTAAAGAAAAAAACAGTGTGATCTGGTATGCCCATGCCGCCTTAATGATTTTGCTGCCCTGTCCCAGGTACATTCCTCATAATTAGTATTCCTGTTCTTTATACGTATATGCTTGTGCTGTATAAGAGAAAAGTCACGTAACACAGCAGTACAAAAAGAGTGGGAAAGGAAATTTTCACAAATCATTTCTTTATGAAGGCAGGGAACATATATCATAATAACTAATGCATTTTGTTCGCAAAGAATTTCCACTACGTATGCCTTAAAAGAAAAAAAATGATAAGAAAAAGTACATAGTATAAAAGTGGCTACGAAATATATATGTTTTGTATACGAAAAGGCGTACTTTATTCACTTAGTATAAATTTCCCCCATATAAAAAGAAAACACGAAAAAATTATACAACATGACAGAAGTGGGGTTCGAACCCACGCCCTTTCGGACAACGGCCTTAACGTTGCGCCTTAGACCACTCGGCCATTCTGTCAATAATAACATATGCGATACAAATGGCTATACATACATTAAAAAAAAAAAAAAAACAAAAATTTTAAATGTCACATTTATATTTTTTCCCATGTTTTGAAAAGATATTTTACATAATTACATTTTTACGAAACACTGTTTGATTTAATTCTCATATTTTTATGACATTCGCCACAATATCGCATTTTTTTTTTTAGCGCAAATAGTTTTACACGTACATCTATAAGGGCGAGTAAAAGGGATATGTACTTGCGCAAAGTCCGTTTCATCATAAAAAAAGATTGCCATCACATGAGCTGAAAGGTGGATAAGCACGTTAAATCAATTTTTGGCCCATTTTAAAAATGGTACCCCGTTTGGAACACCATATGATGAATATTGCTATATGTTTGCCCCGCACAACGGCAAGTTCCCTTTTGGGATATGTAAAGGTCTGTTTTGTTTTCATGTCTTTCGAACTGGCACTGATGAATGCGAATAGGAAAAATGCGTACACAGACTATTGTGTACCTATAGTGCGTAGGCTTTTGTTTTTTTCTCCCATGACGTATGGCATATTCAAAGGGAAGATTTTACTGAAGAGTAAATCTTTCATTGTATGTCCATAACGGTAAAAGTTTCGAATTGTTGAAACCATTTGGAGGATGAAAAAAAAAAGAAATTTTTTTTGAAAAAACATCGAAAACGATTTTGTCGTATTTATGATTGGGGTGAAACAAATCATGGCAGTGTCCACGGGGTGTAGAGTAAATCAAAAGTTTACAGTTGCACTTCGAAGACTGCCTTAATTAACGCGTGCTTTCCCCCCATTTGCCAACGATAAAAATGTTGGGTTGTGCACAATGGCTTACTAAAAAATGTAGGCAAATGAACGTCTGTACAATGACATGCCACTCCATGACAGCGAAGCGGTTGAGGATTGGAGCAGCCAACTCCCCATTTATTAATCCATTGTCGTACATTAGATGCGTTTATGAAATATTTTAAGAGATGAAATAATAAAAAGTTTGAAAAAAGGTGTAATTTATGAAATAATTATACTGTTAATTGAATAACTCAATAAGGTCGCAATTTGTTTTTTTAACGTATGTCAGTTTATGTTTAGTTCAAATGGGATGTTTAAGCAGCAGTAAGAAAAGGTAATAAGAAAAAGGGTAATAAAGAAATTTTTAATATAGAAATAAAGAAATTTGATGCAAAATAAAAAAAAATTTTGAAAACTCCGAGACCGGGAATTGAACCCGGGTCTTCCGCGTGACAGGCGGAAATACTTGCCACTATACTATCTCGGATTCAATATTTGTTACTTTCCTAACAGTCATAATATAAACTGAAGCTGCCACAAAAGTACAGATGTTCTCTTTCGACCGAGTACAAACAGATGCGCGCAACAGCAAAAAACGTTCTTCTTCACATGTAAGCGAGCTCAGCGAAGGCACCTCATTGTACGTTTTTAAATCCCCCCCTAAAAAGAAATTATCACTTCAAATTTGTTGCCCAACTTTTTCATAACATGTTTTTAGGAGCTCGCAAATTTTAGAGAAAATTCACCTTTTTTTTTTTATTCTACAACATTTTATTAATTTTTTGGTGATAAAAAAAAAAAAAATTAAAGCATTATGTCCTCATTCATTTTGACATCTTTTTTGTTAAAAATTAAGAACAATATGAAAGATTGTTCAAAGCGCAAAAAGATTAAAAAAAGGTTAAGCAGAATCGCCATATTTGTACATATAACCCCCAAGCAATCTCATGTAAAACTGAATAATTTATGTTCAATTATATGTCAATAGTATTAATCACGTGATGGTCCCCGTTTTATGTGGCAAAAATGAGTTTAACTTTTTCTCCCCTTCCTTATGACAAACAACACCATATGAATAGAATGAGTGAGACAATAAGGAATTTGTAATACAGCAAGTGTACGGGGAAAGAGGAATGAAAATGAATTTGTTCAAATTTAATTGCAAAATTATTGGTAGAAATTGTGGCACCTTATTAGCAGCACCGTTTGCTCAAACAAATTCGCATCTGTAATAATGCCATCAGGATGTTTATTTCACGCGCACAAATGGTGTGAGGACATCCTTAAAAAGGTTGTCTCATTCTACTATGTGCAATTCACAATTTCTACATCCCATGAACCGATCTAAAGAAAAATGGGCGCAAGGCCCAACTCAAATATGGGTTTTAGGGATTAAGCTGTACGCAAAGCGTATGTGCGTAAAGTTCGTAAAAATGGTAGCTCATTAGTGACAAAATTTTGTACAAAAAAAAAAAAAAAAAAAAATTCAAAATGCGAAACACAAAAATGATAATTAATTATTAACAAAATTAAAAACAAAACTTCAACGTGCACGACATTTCTGCTCTGAATTCGATAAACAAAAAAAAAAAAAAAAAAGCACACACATACGTATGCACTAGAGCGCGAAAAAATTGTCCATTGTAGTTACAGACCATGTTTGCTTACACTGATGAAATAGCTTCATCAAATGTGCGGCCACGAGGTGCGCTCCTTCCTTTACCTCCGTTTAACCCTTCAGTTAATGTTGAATATACAACATTTGTGTTAAGTACATGCGAAAAAACGTCCTGTGTGATGTGTAATAAACATACAGAGGGGGCGGGGAGGAGGAAAGGCTAGCAATAGGCTAGACCCGATCGCTCGTCTTGTGAAACTTATCATCCACGTGCTGCTTTGTACGCTGAATCAATTTCTTATAATGGTCCTTTTTTACAAACCTGTTTATGGCCAAGTCAGTTTCCCTATCAAACATTCTCCTCTCTTTAACTGAATTTTTCGAGTTCAACAGAAACTTTTGCTCTTGCTCATTTTTACCCCATAAGTCTATTGTTTTATGTTTTTCTAAAAATTCTTTATATTGTTCCTTTGTATTTGTAAAACACCCTTCTTCATGTAACTCTCTCAAACTTTTCATTTTTTCCTTACTGTTTTGCATCAAATGGGAGTAATCCTCCTCTTCAAAATTCACAATAAAATTACTATCATAGTAATTGCTGTTATCAATATCGTAATCATCACGTGGACTGTTTACTCCTTCAGCATGGTTATCATGTTCCTTCGAATCGCCCCTCTTCAACGAGCTAGCTTTTCGTTTGTTAATGTTGCGCCTCAGCTTATTTATATCCAGTTTGGACAAAAAGTAATATAATAAACTGTTAAAAATGTCAAGTATATTTTCTTTAAAATTAATAGGCTTTCTGTAGAACTCTCCCTCCTTTTCTAATTTCCATGCTCTAAATAAATGCCTTAATTTTTTTTTTAATTTTAAATCTTTCATACTTTCAAGTGAAATTTTTTTTTTCTTGTCTAACTTTTGATATAATATTTTTAAATTGTTTAAAAAGTTGTAGTTCTGGAGAATGTTGATAGTCAATCTTATCATTTCCTTGCTGTCATATATGTGTGCGTCGTATTGTTCCTTCTTGTTTACCGCACTTGAAGCATCTCCCCTTGGTGCCTTCGTCTCCTCCTCCACCTCCTCCTCGGGCCCCTCTTTGTTTGAGGAACCACTGCTTACACTACTTTCATCGGAGGGGCTACTGGTCGTGTCACTTTCCTCATGTGACGTATCACTCACGTCGCTTTCATCGAATGATGTGTCACTGTAGCTACTTCCCCGACTGCTGCTGCTTCCCCTCCTAGAATGAGACTTCGATCCCCTTCTTTCGTCGAGGGAAGACGAACGGGAAATGGTTTTCCTACGTTTGTTATTGCGATGTCTTGTCCGTCTTCCCCTTGGGGAATTTTCCCCCTCGGATTCATCACTATCACTGCAATGCTTCTTCCTACGTGGGCAGGAAGAAGTTCTTCTTCCTTTGTTCCTCCGCACGGCGTCTTCATATTTGTCATTTTTTAACTTATGCAGTGTTTCTTTGCCTTTCCTTCTTTTCTTCTTAGAATGTTTATCGTATGACGAGCTGCTGCTACGGGCTACATGTTTCTTTTTTTTTTCTTTAGAGCTTTTTCTATGATCGGAATTATTTTCTTCCTCTGATTTTTTCATATGTTTATGTTTACGTTTATCACTATGCTGATTTTTTAAATTTGGAGAACTGGAAGGGTCGCTTCCGTGGTTACATTTTCCTGCGTCGCCAGTGCTATTCCTACGCGATTTATTTTTTAGCCCTTTTTCGTGTTCCTCTTTGTCATTTTTGTAGCCTCTTTTACTTGTTTCATTTTTGTATTTACCATCATCATCGCTGTCATTCACTGATGAGCTGAAAGAACGGCTGCTCATCTTTTCCCCCTCTTCAGGTGTATATTTTTCTCTCGCTTAATTTATCCTGTTAAAAATTCCTTTTTCCAAAATTCACAATTGCCCCAGGAATTAGATACATACAAATGTTGTATTGTGGGTGGGTAAAAAAGGCATTATATTTCCTATGTCATTTTATGTTTTTAAAATATATAACGCAACAAAAAAAAAAAAAAAAGGCTGCGGATAGCGTCATGTGTGCTATGCACTTATTCACTGTGGAGGATGAGTATGCGTTTACTTATTGCTACATAAAGAGTTACATAGCATGCAGAAATGTTTTGATGCATATATGTAATAAAAGTTAACTTGTCAGACCGCTTGTAACATGTTTTTACCCTTAAGTAGGTTGAAAAAAAAAGGTAAATTACCTTTTATATCCAATTTTACAGGAAAAAAAAAAAAAAAAAAAAAAAATACACACAGATTACAACATAGGTGAATGAATACGAAATTTTCCCAAAAAATAGTACGCAGGGAAGAAATCATGAAGGAGAAAATAGGGTGCCTCATGTTTATACATACATGAACACATGGGAGGATGCGTATGCACATGTGCTTATATAGTGGGTTGTAACATGGTGACAATTTAAAAAAAAAGTTGCTGTGCATATAGGGAACAAACAAAGGAGGGAAGTGCAATAAACGCGATGTTGTTGAGACATCTACGCGCGAAATGGTCGGGAAAAGGTAGCGTCAAGGCATGCTTCCTTTGTAGGCATATGAGCGTGCGCGCATAATAACGCTGGGATGCACACATTGCCTGCTCATTTACACATAACGCACGCTGTTTTGTTTTTTTTTTTGTATATATTTTTTCCCATCTTCGTTTAGAAAAAAAAAAAAAAACAGTAGAAGAAATACGGTAAACAATACAAGGTAGGAGGAGGCAGATAAAGATACAAAGGTGAAAGAAGAAAAAAATAGAAATGCACACAAACAATTTTGATACATACAAGGTAATGTACCAAAGGGTAGCATACGCATGTGTACCACGGCATGAAAAAGGAGTTACACTTGAACGTATGTTACACGTATATATGTCATCACGACGGTGCACTTTTAAAAAGTTAGTTCTATTTAATCTGCCAACTTTGCAGAGAGGCCTGCTCAGGGGAAGTGGGTTACACTAAGCATGGCATATGCAAAGTACACATAGACGCGCTTTTCCTCAAAATTTCCAACGGTTGTTACATTTTAAGCACGTGACGAAGGTCGTCATGGGCTCGTCGCTGCTCCTAGTTTGGAGCTGCTGGTAGACAGTGTCATAACCCTTACATTTAAAACACTGAAATTCTCCCTTTCTATTTTGTTTTAAAAGAATATTTTTAACATCCCAGTCGGACTGACAAGCCTCTAAACTTTCTTGCAGGCATTTATTTCGTTCCTTTTTTTTCTCATCGCTAGCCATTTCTTGAGAATTCATAGTAGCAATAGTTTTTGGTGAGATATATTCTGCATAAACTTTTTCGTTAAAGCTTGGGTTTTTTTTATCACATAAATTAAACTTGATTGATTTTAATTGCATATTGTACTCTTTCTGTGATTGTTTTTTTTCGATAAAAAATTTGTGTAGTTCGTTTTCTATATTGTATATAATCTCGTTTAGCTTTTTTCTATCAATAAGGTAGAGCAAATTGTCATCTGAGCCGGTAATGAAAGCTTTAAATAAAAATTGTTTCGCTTTATCTCGAAGTACATCATTGTGAAATTTTCCATTATAATTCCACTCAGCGAGTGCCTTTAAATCTGTGTTAATGTGTTTCAGTTCGCTAATCTTATAGCTATTTTTAATGCTTCCTTTTACTGGTAAGTTTTCATTATTGTGATTTTTGTTGGACAGGAGGGGATCGTCCGTCTTATTATTCGCTTCACTATGATTGGGATTACCACTTTGTATTGTTCCCTGATCTGATTTATCCTCATTGTCATTTTTAACTTTTACCTTTTTTAATTCGTATTCATCTGAACACGTGTGATTATCAGGCCCATCGACTAGCTCAGATTTTCTTTTCTTCAGACTTTCTGCACCTTTACTACCCGTTGAAGAGGAGTGTTTTTCCTTTATAGCAATATTTTTCCACTTGTGGACAAGATCCTTTGCAACATCCTGTATTTCCACATTTTTTATTTTGGTAAATTTATTAACGGTTACTCCTATCTTGGTTTGCTTTAAAATGTCTTTATTTATTTCTACGTCTTTTAACAAATTTAGGTCTTGTATAATTTCTTTTATTGTGCTCTCATCGATTGTTTCATTGTGCTCCTCTGCTTCTGCGTCCACATCCTCCTCCTCTTCGTTGGAGCTTAAATATTTGCTTTCCTTATCTTTTAATCTTTCTTGAATGGTGGTGATTTTTGTAATATTTTCCGTCAGAGTCATATTTTTTATGGGGGCGTTAAAAAAAAAAAAAAAGTATATAATTTACGGGGGGGGGACTAGCGGACGGCTAACTGACAAAGAGCAGTTTATGACTATGCATAATTGGGGCATGATGTGCGGTGCGAGGGGCTTGTCCTTCTTTAATCTTCCCTTTTGTTTCGTTACACTTCCTTCTATGTCGTTATAATACTGGCAATTTTTTATGTTTCCTTGTATATTTCTGTTTCTTTTCTTCTTTTTTTTTTGTTACCATTCTCTTCCAGTCTACGTGCGATGTGTCTTCGGAGAACTCCAAGGGAAGAGAGGCAAACAGGTAGTACACCGTGTTCATGTGTACGAGTGCACCTCTCCTATTTAGGGATCCGCTCGACACGTACGTAGTTTGTAATGTTCCGTCATGTATTAGCTCAGCAAATGGAGAAACTTCATGATACTTTCGTCAAATTGGGGCTACGAGTTATGCATACGATACACATGCACGTTTCATCCATGTATAAAGAAATAATTTGTCCCCGCACCAGACTCTTGGTCAATGGGCATAAACTTGTTATGTTTTTTTTTTTTTTAATTTGTTCTTTTCTTTTGGTTTTGCTTTCGTGGCTTCTCTGTGCACCTTTGCATAGTGTTGCCTACTTGGGCACATAATCACAGGGCGTGTATTCATAAGCGTCCTCACGCGTAAGCGCATAGGTACATCTGTTGTATGTATATATATTCATTCTACGCGTGGTACAAAACAATTTGTGGTGTTTTCAAGGATATATATATTCTTGCTCATGGCAATTTGCGCAATCGCGGGGTGGCAAGTACGTTTGGAGAGGGCGAAAAAATAAAATTAAGAACAATCGCACGCATTACGTATGGAAAAACGTAAGTATAAAATTAACGCACGCGCGGGAATATGGGTATATGTGCCCTTATGCTTATGTTCCGCACTTTTCTATTTCACTTCATTTCGCGTAGTTTTGTTTAAGCTTCTCTATCATATGGCTTTATTCGGCCCATTGTTCTTTTGGAAAATTTTATCATATGCTACGCGAAGGTTTATTTACCCTTTTTGGCCTCTGTACAGTTGTGGCAATTAAATGCACGCGCAAGCAAAACGCACATTTGTGAATACATCCTTGGGAGGTATTTTTTCCGTGGCCCCAAATAACTGCAACTTCGTATTTTTAGCGTGTGATGCGCGATTATATCAACCCAGAGCGGCATTATTCTTATTCCAAAAAGTGGAAGGTCGAAAGTTTTTTCCTGCACATGGATACCATTTGTCTATATTAGCAAAAAAAAAAAAAAAAAAAAAAGGCTAAATGATATAAGGAAAAAATAACGCACAAAGGGATTGTGAGGAATAAAACGACAGCGTTCAAATTAATATGTCCCATAAGTCTCCAAAAAGGTCCAATAGCTTTTTCACGTTTCTCCTTTTTTCTTTTTTTTTCTCCCTTTTGCGTGTCAACGTCATTTCGAAAGGGACTGTCATTGTCGACATTTTTAACAAAAAAGCATACGTCTTAGCGAAGAAAGGCAGCGCCAAAATAGCAATCATTTGGCATCATTTCCGTTTTTCTCTCATTTAGGAAAAAAAAACAACAAAATTCCCCTGTTATTCCCTTGCTATTCCCCTGCTGTTTCCCTTCTTGGTACAACCCGAACAGTGACTAAATAAGCGAGCGTGTATTTCTCTACTTTCTAGTAAAGACGCTGCCTTCCGCTCCTGCATCAGTAATATTTAAACACAGAAATGCTTGACCCACCAGTATAAAAACTGCTGTCTTATTTTTACGCAAAATGGAATATGAGGGCGAAACGTTCCATTTGACGGAATACCAAATTAAAAAAACAGTAAAGGCGTTCAACTATTTGGATAAAAAAAAAAAAGGTCTTCTCAGATTTCAGTATGAATAATATGCTCGAACTAGGCACAACTAAGGAGAAACGAATGTGATAGGCAAAATGTGATGGCGCATGTGGGGGGGGAAGTAATGGTTTTCTTCATTATGTGTGCGCACTATCTCGTAAGTGTTGCGTGGTCTATGATTCATCCTCACACGTAACATACAGCGAGGAATTCAAGAAGTCAACTCACGTCACCCCGTTCTATATGTTCTCACACATAAACGCTTATTCACCGAATTTTTCAGTCTGTTAGGAAGCCTCCTGCGCTGCAGCGGATACAACGTGTCTCTAAAAGAAATTGATAAGATAAAAGACAAAATTATCGAAAACAAAATTAGGGAAAACAATACACAAGTAAATGAAAAGAGGGAAACAGAAATTACTGCAAAGGAAAAAGACGGCAATAATGATACGTTGAACCCTAAGCAAGTTGAAAGAACTAAGGAGGACGATGATGATAATAATAACAATATATCAAAAATGCTAAGCGATTTAAAAAATTATGATAATTTTATCGAATTGGAAAAACAAAAAGAAGAAAAAAAGAAGAAAGAAGAAGAAAATAAAAATTTATTTAGTATAAAGGAATTTTTCAGGATCATTCAACTGCCAAATATAACCAATGAAACTAAGCCATCAAATGTTTTAAACTCTTTTGAAATTTTCGATGAAAAAGGCAATGGAAGAATATCCATCAAAAAGCTCAGATTTATTCTTCAGTACTTAGGGGAACCATTAAGCAATGCAGATTTTGACGAATTCTTTGACTGGATCAAGACGGTAAGTGTTTCAATGGAGACGTCTCTTGCATCACGTCATGTCAACAGCTCCATTCTATAACGCTGTATGCTATATGCTATATGATGATTTGAACACGCTTTCCTTACGTGAGACACTGTACACATAAATAACTTTTTCCCCCGATCGACAGAAGGATAAAGTGTATAAGAAGGACTACATAATTTATGAGGATCTGCTCAACGAGATGGTAAATAAAGACTCGAGCGTTTAGAAAAATTAATGAAATGTCACAAGAGGGGTGGGGACATGGGGGACGAATAGACAAAAGTGTTAATTCTTCCGATTGGAGTGATTTACTCTCCCCCAATTTGCCGCAATTTTTGCCCCTTGATGTGGAAAAAACACAAAAATAAAATAACCCTTGGTAGGAAAATTTAACTGTTATCATTGACCTGATAAGACCTTTTTTCCGTTAAATTTTTTTTTTGTTTCTCGCGCTCTTATATTCCACATTCCGATATGTATTAAAAAATCTAATTTATTTTGATGAAACTTTTAAATAGCTAACCTTTTTGTAATAAAAAAAAAAAAAAAATGTGATAATGTTATTATCGAAGTTTAATACAGACACATTTGTGGAGATCCATATAAAGTGGAGTAAATGTGCTCACATGTACGCACACATATTAGCATATGTATGTGTAAAATTAAAACAAATGGATCAAAGGATGAAATGCGGGGGGAATAAAAACATGGGCAGACATTTATGAATGGCTTAAACAAAGCATTATTAGGTAGAAAAAAAAAAAGAGACGGGAAAAAATACATGGATGAAAAGGTGAAGTTGAATACAAAACTGAATGGTTACACTCTATTTGTTAGTAGAACTAAAAAAAACAAAAATACAAATATATATATATATATATATATATATATATGCGTACACATATATATATCATGTGTAGTATGCGTACACACCGGTTTGACCATTTTGCATTTCTGCGAAACTGCCACGGTGCTGCTTATCCACTTTGCTGCTACCATTTTCCAAATTAAACCCAAATAATCACGACACGGAGAATAAAAAAAAAAAGAAAAAAAAAAGCAAAAATAACACAAAATTGGCAAGCAGAGCTTCCATACCAATAATCAGTCATTATCATTACTAGCGGGTATGTGTATACAATTAATTATTAGAGCAAAGGATGTAAAAAAATAAAAAAATTTGGACGCCTTGCTTTTCTTTTTGTTATCTGAGCGGTCTTTATCTTGTTTATGCTTGTGAATTAAATAATTAAACAATTTTAAATTATCAAATTTATTGCTTTTTTTAATTTTCTTAAAGTTATGATTAGCGTCCATGTATTCGCTTAACAGTTGACTGTTTTGATGCCAATCTGTAGACTCGTCAATGCAATAATTTTTGTTGTTATAATATAGGTGGATGTTCTTGTGCGGCCTGGATAGCAGTTTTACTCTTTCCTTTCGCAGTATCCTCTTGTGCATCTTTTTATATTTCCACTTGTACATTTTGGTGTACCTCATTTCGCATATCTTGCTGAAATTATCCAGCTCAGCGTTGTCTATTCCTGAGAGGTAATATGCAGGTAGCTTCAAGTCCATCATCTTTTGTTTCTCTTCTGCGTGTTTGGTTGAGGTGTCTCCGTGCATTTGGAGGTTGGTTTGATGAGACAAATCTGTATCCTCCTCCTCGCTGCTGCGTTTATGCTCGCCATTTTCTTCCACATGACCCACTGGTTCCTTTTCATGCGGTGCATTTTTTCCCAACATGGCAGAGCTTGCACCCCACTGCTTGGTCCTCTCCCTCTTATCCTTGGGCTTATAATTATATATGCTGATGATGACATCCTTCTGCAAGGCCATCATCTTCTTCTTCCTCTTTTTGAGTATAATTTTCTCACTGGCTTGCGCATTGGTAGAACAGTCATCGTGTCCCTTTTGGGGATTCCTCCCAGCTCCATCGACACCGCCGCCACTGCAATTGCATGTTTCGTCCTGCCAACTGACACTCTCTGCGGTGCTGAACATTTTTTTTCCCCGATTCTTATGACCACTTTTGTCTTGATGGCGCTTCCTGGAAAATAACTTCCGCAAGTAGTTTACCTTCTTTATCGTCTTGACCTTGCTCATCTGTTTAACGCTATTCATTTCTACGTCCGTACTGGCCTTCTTGCAGTAGGCCGAAAAATCTTTCTTATTTATGTTGGCGTATCTGACTACGTAATAGGTCTTCATTTTTTTTTTAAACTTACGCATAAATGGAAATTTTTTCTTACGCGGAATTGGGTATTCTAATGTTTTCTTCACGTGCGTCATGTTGTTGAAGCAATTAATTTTTGTTTCGCCGTTAGTTTGTTTCCATCTAATTTGTTTAGAATGACCAAGTGGGGCAAGGGAATCACCATCGTGTATCCCTTTTTTGCGTAGGCCGCTTTTCCCTGCACTGTTTCTACTGGGGCAGTCCGTACTCAAGCTACTTTTGATTAGCCCCCCTCCTTTTCCTATAGCGCTCTTAGAGTATTCGCTGTCTCTCTTCCAGTTCTTAATAACAATAATGTAGTTGTTATTATTGCTCACTCTCTTTCTGTGCACTCGAATTATATCATCATCCTGATATTCATATAGTTCGTCTGCATTCATTTCGTCTCCTACGTAGCTGGCCCTGCTCTCGTTACATATGTCACTGCACATATCATTATTAGAGCTGCCTGTTGATGACGAGTCGTTCTTAATGTATAAAGAACCTATGACATTATCCAAATTTATGATCCTTTTTTGTGTGTATGGACTGACTTGTTCAAAATCGTAACTTAATTCTTCGGAGTAGCTATTCTTCTTCCTAAGACTAGAAAATTTAATTTTAGTCAACTTGGTATTTTTATTTTTATCGTACTTGAAATGTGTTGAATTCATTTCAATTTCTTTATAGGAAATATTGCTCAGTTTGGTAATATCATATTCTTCTAAACTTTTTTCTTTCTTTATCTTTTTCTTTACATTATAAGATTTTTTTGTTCTATATTTGCTATCATGAATATTCATCGAATGATAATCTCTTCCTTTTTTGGTCCATTTGCAGTCTCCTATGCGTGATTCCATGGAGGAAAATTTTTTCTTTTTTTTTTCATTTTTGTTTCCACTACTGAGTGAATAATTACTACCATCTTGTTCTTCCTCTATGTTGATAGCTACATCGTGTAGGCCCACTACATTATGCGAGCACTTCTGATCCACAATTTGTAATTGTGGGTTCACAAAATCGATGTAGGACGGCCTCGTCTTCGTGAAAAGTATCTCTTTTATATTGTTAAAAACACCAATATTAAATGGATTATCGTTTTGATAAAAGGTTTTTATTTGCTCATACGTTGTTTGATTTGTCACAATTGTGTAGATGTGATAGCACAGAAGTCCTATAACGAACCACAAGGTTAGGATAGTGTATATGATCAAAACTATGCTATCTGTGGCCATGCGCCATATGTGAATAAATATTTTCTCCGTGTTGTAACCCTGGTCGGATAGGCTGTTGATGCATACGGTCAGTTTGTAAATACTCGCACCAAGAGTTATGCATATCAGGATGTACAGATTAAAAACGAAGTACACGAAGTATTTGTAGTTTCTTGTGCCGATGCAATTGCCAACCCTAAGAGGTAAAACGGATGGGGGGAGGGGAATGAGTAACGATGAGGAAATCCTTCGAACTGTGCACAGATAAGAGAATATGTACAAATGGGGAGGTAAGCGTATAAAGCAGCACACACACTCATTATACATATATACACATGTGCACGTTATCAAAGGTAGCCTCCGCTTTGTATTACCATGGGCAGTGGTGATCGAATTTCTCCACACAGTTGTCACAAATAGAACAATGTACAGTTCTTATGCCTCTATATATGTTACACGTGTAGCAATACTTGAGCTTGTAAAAGTTGCCATTTATCAAAACCTCCTTCTGTCGTGGTGGTTGCGTTTCCCGGTATTGTTGGACTATCACATCGTAAATGTTTAGTACGGATTTCTGCACACAGAGAGAGAGAGGGGGGCAAGGGGAGGTTAACAGTATAATTGTCAATGTGCCAATATGGGTACACTTTATTCAAATAAAAGAACACGTAACGCATGCAATTGCACAATTAGCCATTCCACATGAGAAAGATTCAAAAAGCTTCATTCACGTGTGCGTGAAACTTCTACCAATATGTAATGGCCATTACCTGTCTTGGTATTATACCAGGGTCCATAAAACTCGTTTTAAAAAAGGCGTAAATGGTGAGTGTGAAGAAGAACAGGTTGAGTAATGAGATGTAGTAAATGTCTCTTTCAAAGAACCACTGCGAGGAGGGGGAAAAAAACAAAAGGGTTTAAACAATATGCGAAGGTTATTCTGTCATAAAAAGGATGCTTCGTACAAATAAAGGGCACATCAAAAAGGGAATAGGACACATTTGGATATTCAACACGCATCACCCCTTTACAACTGATTCGCACACATATGAGCATTCTATATCCACCTCTCCATTTTGTGTCAAATTTGTATCTTTCGGCTTACTGTTGAGGTAAAGGCGTGGAAGATGGCAACTGGGATTAATATCATAAGAAGGGACGAGATGACCGTTAAAAAGGCCGGTCTGCACGGGGACAGGGAGAGCAAGGAAACGGTAAAATGAGTAGGTTGCTTAGGTATGCACATGTTTATACATATGAGTGCATCTCAATATAACAATTGTGATGAATGCTATGTTGCGCCTTTCTCTGGCTTTTAAAAGGGAGAAAATTGCATTTGCTTAACACCAGCAGAAAGTGTCTCTGCGGCGTTGGGCACTTACCCTGACACGAAGCCCCCCTTGCAGTGTATTTTATTCTCTCCATATATTTGTATATTATTTATTTTGTCAAAATTCGTTCTCTCCAAAGTTTTATTTCTTTTTAATATTTTCATTTGTTATATAATAATTTCATCTTTGTAAAAGGAGGCGTCCAAATTTTATCATAGAGGCGGGAATTATTTCAAGCACTGGCTGGCGCATTGGTCATCTACCGCATAGGGGAAGTCTGGTGGTTTAGTGTCTCTTCACTTTCCAATAGGCAGTAAATTATAATTTGGGATGCTTGAACGGAAGATAAAAATAATACTAATAATACTAAATAAATAAAATAAAAAAAACACAGAGGGGCCCAGCGGGGAAGGGGTTACAAAACAAGGTAGAAATGATAACGAGGTGCGGAACGCGTCGGGAGGCTGAAGGAAGAAAAAAACAATATAAACTCAAATATAGGTGGCTATGTTAAAAACGATAGCCCGAAAAAATAACAGCTCTAGCGCATGCGGAGTGAAGAGGATTGTACATATAATTGTAATACTGTAACAATAAAATGGGAAAGTAAAAATATCAAGGGGTCATTTGTTCCATGAGGGGGCTCTTCATGCAGGGGTGGACCGTTTGTTATATAATTGCATTTTGCGCCCGTAACGTGGCACCAGAGGGAGTTAGTGAAAGCCAAAGCACTTCGGCCTTTTCAATATTTTTTTTTTTTAATACGTAAAAGTATGTCATATAATAATATATTTTGTATGCACAATTTTAACAATTTGCACTAGCGCAAAAATAAATTAGTAAGCAAAATATTTGGTAACTGTTTGGGGATTTTTTAATTATTATAGGGTTACCATTAACATTATCACAAAATGCGAATAGCCATATATTTATACATTATTATGTAAGTACATAATTTGACTGGTCCAATATTTTTTTTATGCCTTTACTGTGGTCCAATTTAGAGAACCGCAAATAATAAATTCATTCACAAAAAGTTTTCTCAGTTGTGGCATTGTGTACATAAATTTGCCAATTTCAGGAGGAACATGTTAAAAAAAAAAAAATTAGCAAGTTACTGGTTAAGTGGACACGGCAACTGCAACAATTTGTAGCAATTGGAAGCAATTCCGATTCGGGATAGCGTCTTTAAAATGCTACATAATATATTTGTACGTAAACATATATGTGTCCATGCACATAAGTTTTTTACATTTTCATGTGTTGTTGCGTGAATGACCACCTCGTCGTGAGCCCACCCTTTAGCGCAGCAAAAATGCGTGTCCCCTGGGAATAGAAGTAAAAGACCGCATGAATAAAGATTGTAAAGACATACATGATTCCCCCCCTATACGTACGTAAAGGAAACGGCGGAACACCCATACCTGCATATACATAAATGTCTGCAAATGTACAAGTATTCATGCTTGTCTCTATTGAGGGGAATATTAAACTGATTCAAATTCTTAAATGTGAATTTTGGTTTATTGTGTTATCAAATAATAAAGCTCTTTTCTGTTTTTTCCTTTTTTCTGCCAAAGTTCGTGTGAGCTGTGAAAATGGTGAGCACATAATCGTGCTACATACACATGCAATAGCAAGGGAATTATACACGTTACACATGTATATGTACAAGTGCATCTGCGCACACAAAAATGCTTGTGCTTAGCACCCAGCACGTGCTCAAGCGATTTGCGAAAAGAGAGAAAAAAAAGAAAACACGGATATGCACTTACTATTAAAACCGTTGACCGCCCGTCATAAATACAGGTAGAAAAGACCTGCGCCCTTTTACGGTTAACATGTATTCCGACGCAAGCGCAAAAGGGAACTTAAAAATATAAATTAACAAGCTTTGGCCAATGTACACGTTGCATTAATAGTGAACATTGGCTCATTAAAAAGGTGAATCAAACTGAACGGCTCTAAAAAAAAAGGAAGCACCGTTGCATCAAAACGAAGGTGCAAAACAAGGATAT